TTTGTTGACGACTTCCTCCTTTTGTTTTTATATGGCTCGAAGGGCAGTGCATCAAATTTTTGGCTTTTAATTCTCAGTCTGAATTAAAACAATCTACTTAAACTCCCATATATGGCTTAGATATCTCAATGAATGAGGGAACAAGATGTCTCTCTCACTAACTTCTCTGCTTCCCCACTTCAATCCATGGACAGAGAATTTAGGTTGGCTGCAGAATTATTCTTTGAAAACACTAAGCAATCTTCCTTTGACTGAGATGTTTTCCACTGGGCACAGAAATAGGTTCTGTTCTGGGGGATACTGAGGATAGAATTATTGTTCCTTGGGGTCATATCCCACTTATAGGTGGAATAATCGCTCCCATAGTAAAGATGAGAGGAAGAGAAGTGATTGAATAAAGGATCTCATACAAGAGCTGGATCTCTCAGACCATCTCCGCCAATTCACTTCTGTTATGAGTTCCAAGTCTCTACCAACAACATGTGCTGCACAGTCTGTGTGGCCCCACCGCACAGGCTATGTGCATTCTGCCTCCAATGGCCTTTGTGCAGCTAAACTGAATCCTTGTCCCACAAACATTGCCTGGCCTAAAGAACTTCTATCACACTGAAGAATCTCTGAGTTCACCAGTAATAAAATGCAGAGATTCTCAACAAGATTTCTCATCATGGAAATACAATTAGAGCATTCACTCTAACAGTGACGACAGCTCCAGGTCCCAGGCAATGAAGGCAAAGGTGGATGAGAGGACTGGAAGGACTTGTAGCTGATGGTCCAAAATAACAAGGTATTGTATCAGGCTTTTCCTCATTTTCTATACCTTTCCAGACGTCTCAATTTCTTTTCATGTTCCTGCAGAAGTGTAACTTCAGCAGAAGGGAACACCATCATTTTTTAAAGCAGGCCTCTCAAGCTGAAGAGAAATTAATTTTGAGTCTTCTAGTCATGAATTCTCTAATCACTAGACTGCCAGCTCTAGCTTCTCACACAGAATATTGAATAAAAAAAGTCCTCCTTAAGTCTTTCAACTAGTTCCACAGGTACCTCCTAAGTAGTCTTTGGATTCTGTGTTCTGAGAGGGTGGGCATATTCGCACTTAATCCTGATTTGGGTGCCTAGTCCCCTGATAAGGGATAGCTGTCATGCATCACCCTGATGATTAGATCAAGTCAATTTATCTGAGGTACCTCATTGCCTGCATGTGCTGAATAGGGAGCCTAGGTATTTAGTTTCAGGTTTTAGATACCAGTCTGAGGCCAGGCACTTAAGCTATTAAAGTTCGTGCAGTCAGGAGGGCCAAATTCACATATCTAGAACTGTCTAAAAGTCAAGAGAGAAACAATACAATTATATTCAATAACATTAAAAGAAGATAAAATAAACTTGAAACCTCTTGGGAACTTCACACACCCTCTGTGGTTTTTTTACATAACTGTCTCCCCAAGCTCTCCCAGAAAGAGATTTGTATCATTGTAAGGTATTTTCAGTACAGGCTGAAATAATAGCTAAAAATGAGCTGAGTTCCAAATCCCACAGTGTTAGAAGTTCCAAAGAGCTTGGAGCCTGAAGGATGTCAAAAATCAGACAGATGGTACAGATTCATCACTTAGAAATTCATTTTCAAAACAGATGTTTTACTAGACAACTCCCAAGTCTTATATTAAAAAATACCCACCAGAGTTCAAAGAATGCTGGGCCAGATCCCCTCAGGTCTCCCTCTGATGACTCAGAAATATCATGATTAGACAAATGGGGACATAATGGAGCCCCATCAGAACACAACGTAACATAACCATGTAAGGTTGTTTCTCTTTTGCACGAATCAGGCTATTATTTGCTCGATCAGCAAGTCTGAATCCAAAAGTCAGCTTTACTAGAGGGTTCATATTTACAGCCAGGCTTTGAAGTTAATCCAAAAAAGTCTGTGATTCTTCTTGCCCTTTGCACAATGTCTGTCTCTATCTTTGCTGGTTGGTTGGGAAATTTGGGCTGCTTTATTTACTCAAACATGTCTAATCATTGCACGTCATTTAACTGTTATTTGTTATGGGAGTTTGGGTTTTAAGGTGACAGATTACAACTGTCAAGAGACAAGGGGTCAGCTGTTGTCAGTTAAACTAAGTGGAAGAGGAAGGAGTCACTCAATACATGACAGATATTTTGTGGCAACAAAATATACAGGCTGATCCATATAACTTTGATGAAAAACATGAATTATTTCATCCTAGCATAAATCAATCACTTTCAATAAAATCCTTCTCAGGTTTGCATTAACATGTCTATAAGAAGAAAATACATCATGACAGTGTGTTCTTGGCTTTAATGAGCACAAACAATTTCTTCTGCAGATCATCATGTCTTCATTTAGATTATAACACAGTTGAGGAATGTTGTATGTCACCATTATCCTGCTTTCTTTGGCATATGAAAATTTTGTACATTAATTGCATGTGCAAAAGAGGTTGGGATGTTGCTGTAGAGACTTTCCTCTAAGCTTCTTTACAAAACCATGACTGTGAGGTTCAGTGTGGCCCTTGAACAGTCCTTCCCGGTTCACAATCACCACATCCTGATTATTTTGACTGCATTTTAATCCTCAATTTGAATCTGCAGATTTCAGCCTAAGTAACAACAGTTGTTTTTTAAATATACTTCAGTTTACTTCTGGAATAACTTCAGGAACTACAAGTTTGCAGACTTACTAGGAGCAGATTGTGTCCTTTTTAGGAAACTGTGCTCTACAGTCTTTTATGGTGATGGCTGTATAACTGTTAATTTTAAAAGGAGCTGTGAAAATGGGAACTGTTTTGAGGCAAGTGGGAGGAAGGCAACCAGACCCTAGGACACTATTTACTGCCTCTCTCTCAGCTTGCATGTGAAGCAGGGATCATGTTATTCCAGCAGCTATTTAGACATAAATGGGAGGATACAACAATTCTCTGGGGACTACCTTTTCCTACTTAGGAAAAAATCCTGTTGCTTTAAGTGAAGTTTTCTGAGTCTTTATAAGACTTGCAAGTTACTATTCAAAGGAAACAGAAATATTAACAGAGAAAAGGTAAAATCACCACCCATAAAAGCCTTGTTTGATACCAAGGGTATGTAAGGCCAGTGGAGTAAGCAGATGTTCTTGTAGGAGTGTTTCGCATGAGGTCTCTGCACCCCGGGAGTGTACAGGATGGCTCATCCTTGCCCCTGCCCACAGGCTGGTGTAAGGTTCCACCTCTGCCTGGAGCTCACTGAGTGAAGGGAGGTACAGGCATAGCAAGCAGGATTTATCAAGGAGCAAGGAGAAACTAAAGGGACTGCAGTGCTGGCATTGCCTGGTGTGTTTGCGCACACCCATGTCCCAAGGCCCAGCTTTGACCATTCTCCCCTATACAGATCAGAAAGAGAGCAGAAAAGACGTTTCAAATCAGCTGGATAATGCACCTTCTGAAGATACCTTTCTGTCTTGTCACTGTCTACAGTCAGGCAACCAGTTTTGGCATCTAACTTTCAGATTACTAAAATTATGTGAGGTGAGTCCCACTGCTCCTGCTTTAAACTGCCACTGAATTTCATGCAATTATCCTTGTTCTGAACCGAAGTCAAGCTAACGAAGGTTACATCCAAGAAAAAGATTCTGTTTTTAGTAGGAATCATTAAGAAAAGGAGATTTCATGTCTTCTGTAGCTAGCTTGATCCAACTGTTACATATCTTCTGTCACAGCCAAAAACTCAGAGAAAACTCTGTTTCTCATTACAATTGTTTAGCTTTAATCTCTTACAGTTATTTCTTGTTATATACTAAACTGGACTTAAAAAAATCTTTATGAGGTTAATTCCCATTGAAATAGCTGTAAATAGCCTAGAAAATTGGCATCTAAGGATCTGTGCACAAGGTCTCATTTATGAGTTTGTTTTTTCACAAGACCTTGCTTTTGCCCCTTATGGAGTTAGATTTCACCAGCAGAATCATGAAGAGAAAGACTTGACTGGATTGGGAATAGGTCAGGTTCAGTTCCCAATAAGGTAGCTAGCTAAAGGAGCTAAGCTTTATCTTTTACTTGGTAAAAAAAATTATGAAGGTTCACTGTGTTATTGCTTGCACAATGCAGTGCTCAAAATTGTCACACATTGTTCCAGTCAAAGATAATATCTCTGCTCGTCTCTGTGTGTTAGGAACACTGAACTAGTGCAGTTAAGTTCTTACCTGAACTTAACAGGGACTAGCCAGTGTGCGACTGTCAGTCTCTTAGTGGAATTAGAAAAACTGGAATAAAATTCCTGTCCTATTTTCCAACAGATACATTTTTCCTATCACTGCAGAGATGCTTGCATACTGGCATTTTCCATGCAAAATTTTGTAAGACCTTTGCAAAAGCTTGCACCAGAAGATGTCCATCCCAGTTCTCAGATTTGGAAGGACAGAGAGACATTCAAGATGTCATGCTTTTGCATTTGAACCAGAGTATGCCCTTTTGCCACACTTTTTCCATGGTCTGCACTGTCCCTTCTCTTTAGTAACAAGACACAGATTGTCACTGTGTGAGTGTTGTATATCACATGAGTTTGATACATATTACTCTTCCCTAGATTAACAGAGAATGAATAACAATGAATTTTTAAGATGGACACAGTGTACTGGACATAGTGTATGCTGTTTGGCTCCAAGAAAAAATTTCCACTGGGAAAGATGTTACGAATACAGAGCATATCATGGCGACCTAAGAGATTATTGATTTGGGCCAGTCCAGGAAAGGTGTTTAAAATAATCTTGGGATTTCCAGGTAGGATTCAGGACATAAATTTGAGAGGGAGTGCTAGGGAAAAAAGAAAAGTAAGCAGCATGCATACAACCTGGATAGGAACCAGTGAGATGTTACCTTCAAAGAAATTGGTAGCAAAAAGCATTTGCATTTGACCCATTTAATTTAATAATTTATATTTTTAAATATCTGGTCAAATAAAATATACAGGGGTCTTTGTGTATAGACAGAGAGTTTTGTGTGTATTACCTCCAGGAATGTTTGTGCCCAGAGCCGGGACCTGATTTTTAGCGCGGCACTCTTTCCTCTTTCCAGTTGTCCCACAGTGCATGAAATTAGGACACACTTCACATTTGTACAGTTCTGTGCACAAAATAAACGGAAGTCATACTCATGCTTTGAAAATGTATAAAATCATAAGTAAGCAAAACCAAATCAACTTTCCCTTAAAGAGCTAAGTAGTCTGAAATCATTAATTTCATGTAATATACATGAGTCATCGTGAGAACTGTAAACCAAAGGGGAGATCCTTTTTGCGTCGCCAATGGGTAAAACCACCTATCTGTAATAATGAAGATAAAAGTAAAAATTTTCAATAATATCTGCTCCAAAGAACTCTTAAGATGTCCAAGTATTTACCAATCCTTTGAATCATGTGCTTTGTCTTCACCTACCAGTCATTTTATGATTTCAACACTTTTTTTCTGCTCTTATCCATGAAAAAGTGTTTATTTATGTTCCTAAATATTTTCTAAATCTCCTGATTTTCCCATTGATATTTTCATTATAGCAGCCAGAACATTTGCTGAGATTCATTAGTTGCTTTACTTCAAACTTATTGTCCACGAAACATTCCTGATGAGCAGTGATTCTGGCTCGTATACAGAGTGGAAAGCAAAAGCCAAGCAATGCAACTCAAAACTATACACTCTTAAAGTCTGCCAGAAAAACGTTACAAAAAAGGTTAAAAGCTGACTGGAAGCCACTGAAGGGAATGAGCAGAGTCTTGTGGGGTAACCACAGAAGTTCAGTGCGTAGAAAGGGAGAAAGATCTCAAAGAAAAATGATTAAATGTGTGTACAAAAAATTAAAAATGTTTTATATATACCAATGGGTTTTATCTGAAAAGTTTTTGTTTAATTCAGGAGGAAGGCTGAGGTTTTAATTGATTCCTATTTTTATAACAAAGCAGAGAATCCCTCCCATGACAGAAGGCCTTGTGACCTCAAATGCAAAGCTAAGTTTTCACAAAGCTAAGTATATTCCCTAGTGAGAGTGAGAATGCACTACCAATGCCCATATTTCAGGAAATGAGATGATGATGTATGGAACCGATCTGAAAACACCCTTAAGGAATACTCTATCTTTATAGACAGCTTTCCCACAAATATCTATCTTATTGCAGGATAAGCAGAAGCTGTATGCTTAATTGCTGTCTTCTATATCTGCCTGAAAATGAAACTGTAAACTCTGGAACTTGCAGCTATAAACTTTTTTTTTTAAATGAATAATTTAAAGTATTTGTTTATTTGGCCTTAAATATCCTCCAACCAGATTTATTTATGTTGTAGGAAGGAGAAGAGCTGTTTTCATTAATCATAGTGGCCAAAAACACATACTAACAAAATAAATCATTAGTATGCAAAAAGTCTACTTTTGGCTGACATTTTAAGACCTGAACACATATTTCTGTTTTTTTAAGTAATGCATTTAGCCTGTAGTGATTTTCAGAACAATGTAACATTAGAACTAATGGAAGAGAAATCAAATGTTTAATAAACAGTATGAATAGAATAAGAGGTTCTCAGAACATTTTGTCTCTCTGTGAAAATGCTTTGATGAAAATAACAGAACTTCTAAAGAAAAATATAAATTTTAACAAATAATTATCTTTGGCCAATCAGTCTTTTCCAAGAGCAGCATTCATTTTTCATGTATACTTCTAAGGTGTCAAATAAAAAAAATTTTTTTTTGCATCCGTAGCATGTAATGCTGAAGGCACACAGAATTGGAACACCTTCTAACTAAACTAATGACATTGCTGTTCTATGCCCATCTTGAAAAAGTCCTGTTATATATCCAGTGGTAAGCACTATACCCAATCCTATCCTAATTTGTGCTGATCAAAAGCATATTGTAGTAGAAGACTGCTCATCAAAGTGCCAATTTCACATTATTAAGTACTCAGCTAAATATATTTGATCTGTCTACATCAAGCAGCTGAAAATTCTCTGCTTCATATTTTAAGTTGCAGGCACAGTGCATACTTCAGAGCTTTGTTAACCACTTCCAGTTGCTTCAATAATTTTTATGTTCGCAGCCTATGGGCCTAATCACTAAGAAAGATAACTGATAATTAAGGTATTACTGGAGAATAGATTATGTGTTCTGTGATATTGACTGGCAAGTCTTCGAAAGCCCAGGCATTTTTCCTTCAGCCCCAGTGGAATCAGATTCTTTCCAGGGTATTGGGTTGATGAAAGAATGACAGAGTTATTATTGTTTAAAATGAGTTCATCTGTGATTTTGTTCTTAACAACATTATGGTATTTATTACTTTCAGATTCTATCTTCTTCCTGTTACAAAAATTGCCAAATTAACTTTCAGAAGCACTCTAATTATTCTATTACTCCAGAAGACTTAGGTCTGTGAGGTTCTTTTCTTCCTACCAAAATTCTAGTCATGTCAAGGAATTCAAACATGAGCTTGCAGTAAAGAGCTTAATAAGAGACTGGAAAACATGAAAGAAACTCTGCCTGAGGTTCATAAAAATAGATGGAAAGCACGGACTGCATGAATCCTTCGACTGACCTTAAGGTCACCAAGTTTGAATGCTGCCTCTAGGCAAGGGGAGCTGATACCTACAATGCTGAAGTATGCTAAGGATGGGACTTTGAATACAGGAATGGGAAAAAAAACTTCTCAAAATACAGCCAAGTCTAAATACTCAGGTACCAGACTGACTAATTAAAACTATTTACCTGGGAGAGAGAGTATTCCTCTTGCTCCAGCATTGTCTGGATTGTTAAAAATGCAGTGACCTGTCCCATTTGCCTTGCTTGTGGTACTGTAAAGGGAGAGAGTCTCACCTTCCCATGTGTATGTAAGTAGTTACTGGGGGGAACAAATATACTGCAAACTATTTATCTGTCAGAACTGTTATTTTACATGAAAATGTTAAAGCGTGAGCTACTCCTTAGGAAAGAGCCAGAATGCTAGGAGTCAAGTTAAGAAGAGGAGACCTACTTTTCAGAAGTAAGAACCTGAAATTTATTTTGTGGATGAAAGCCTCATTCTCTAAATCAGTGATTAAATTCCCTGTGATAAGTGTGCATGACCACAGAGGTTTGTCTGCAAACAGCCTGGAGTAAGACAGCCAAGAATTTGGCATGCTTGATCTCTAACATAAAAATCTGTCAAACAAATTCTCTAACCTGGGGAATGGTGATATGTAATAAACAGCATTTAAAATTGAGAGGTTAAAATTGCTTAGAAAAATATTTAAAAGTTTGTAAATAAATTGCCGTCAAATCAACAGCCACCTTGATACACTGCATGCACAGTCTCAGTTTATAGTTTCTAGACAGCTCACCAATACTTTTGCAGAGTTTTTCCTGTGAGGTTCTGCCACTGCAACATCCCTTCTTCTGATGTAATGAGAAATTGTGGAATTATACAAAAAAGCAGCAAGTTCAGGAGTGTCTTGTGGAATAGCAAACTGCAAAGAGAAAAAATGTGAATAATAATGACATGCTTATGGAATATATAACAGATTTGTTCCCTCTCAGAGGTCTTGAATTTTGGATTAACACTGTTTATTCAATTTAACAGCACAACCATGAGAATATACTATCTTCAACTAGGAGCACAATGAGTAATAGCACAGCAAGATATTGCTCATTTAGAGGAATTACAGTAGATAACTTTTTTCCACTTTTTACTGATGTCAATTTCATTGTTTTACTTAATTTTATTAGACTCTTGGGGCCAGATTCTGATATATATGACAGGATAAATTCCAAGTTATCACCCAGAAATCTGATCATCAGTTCAGATAACAATCTGCCTATTGAAATATAATGATTTTACCAATTTTAGAAGCTAGAAAAAAAAAAGGAAATCTTACTTCAAACAACATAATTTTTGATCATTATTTGTTACAGATCTCTTTTCTTCAGCTTTATATTTACAGATTTTTATTCTCCAATTAAAACCTACTTTTTTTTTTGTTGGCAATTTGTCTTTAATTTCTACACAGAGCATTTATGGCTTCTTTCATGAAGCCTCAAACAACTCCTGGGAAACAGAGGGAAAGATAAATTTCAATTCATGACAATCTAATCATGTAAAATCACAATAAGATAGATGTGGAAGTTTGCAGTAAGATTTCAATAGGAACTCACCTAAACATAGCCAAGACTATTTCTTAAGGATCTCAGATTATCAAGAGTTACATCACATCCTTCTTATCAGTTCCTTTAACCTTGGAACACAAAATATCTTAAACAAATTCCTAAAGAAAATGTTTGTAATTGTAATAAATGTTGTAGCACTAAAGGGAAGAGAAGAGCTGTAAACACACAAAACCTTCCACACATTAATGCCGTGTAGTATTAGATTTGGAAAATTTGTACCTTTCATCTCATTAAAATTATAATGCTAAAAATGGATCTTTTCTGACATTGTCTGAGATCTTCAGTCAAAGGCATTCTAAAAAGTGAAAGATACTATAATTCATTAACAGATGAAAACCCATTAAGCAAAAGTAAGAATCCTCTTTTTTCTGTTGTTTAATGAGGTTAACATTGTCTATTTGCAATAAGGGAACACTTAAGTAGCTAGTATATCTCTGCTTTTCAGTGTGGTAATGTGGGAATTCTCCTTCCAGGATTCTTTCACCAGCATATATAGGCTTCCTCAACAATGAAAAATTTAAAAAACACAATATAATGATATGCCTGTGTAGAAGCCCACAACATATGATCAGAACTGATGTATATGTAGATCCATTTGAACACAAGATGATTTTCATATTTACTTTTTTTTCATATATCCTAGTGTGTTATCATCTTCAGTAATGAATTATTACGGCAAAGGTTTGAAAACAGCTCTCTGTGGTTAAGAGAAAACATACCTGTCTCCTGAAACAATTTAAAATCAGAATTTCTACAGTGGCCTAGATGTTCAGGTTAAAGATATTATTTTATCCTTCTTGAGCCAATAGCATGGAATTGTACAACTCTTTGGCTATTTTATATAGCACACTATATCTTATATGGACTATCACTCCCTCCCTTTAACTACAACAGACTGTCTCAGTTTCCCCATCATGGAAAACTGTACTGCTTTCTTATCCTGAGCCTTATGACTTTGAGCAGGTTTACAGACCTCCCCCGTTTTTCACTTTTCATTTCAAAGCACTGTTTAGTTTTTCTCTTTTTCTAGCCAGGCAATACCCTCTGCTGCAATGTGTAACTCCATCAGAAATGTTCTGGAAGAGGACTTTAAGTAGAAGCTACGGTACAAGAGGTGTCAGTGACCATTGAAGAGCAATGCATTGGATGGTATTATTTTGTTCCGAGACCAAGACTTACACACTATAATAACAATTTTGCGGCATAAGGAGGCAGTGGCTCTGGGAGAGGTTAGCTCCTGCCAGTCATGCTGGTGGATGTACCTTGCCCATGTGGTGGATTTTAACTGCTATTTCACTGCTTCCCTGACAGGTGCCTCACTCATGGTACTTCAGTGCTCAGCTATTGAGAATGTGCCATGTGTGTCACCTTGTATAGTCTACCATAGCTGGAAACCCATGGAAGCTGGAAGCCTCCATTATACTTGTGGTATTAATAGGTATAGGTTTCATAAAATTGCTTTTCGCCATCAGTCTGGGACTAAAAAACCAACTCATCAGGAATACTGGCTCAGGCCATCTAGCCGAGCCCTCTTCTCACCTCAGCTGCCTTTAGGAAAAGTAAGAACAGGGCATACATACACAATACTCTCCTAGTAACTTTCAGCTCCCAAATGTTTTCTGCTTGGGGACTTACTTATTAGTATGAAGTTTTTATTAATTTACTAATCTTCACTGGACTTCTCTTCTGTGAATTTGTTCAGTTTCCTCTTAAAATCACGTAAACTTTTAACCATGACTAATTCCCTTTGTCCACAAGTTCCAGACACTTAAGATCTGTCATCATGAACTACCACTTCCTTTTGCTTGTTTTGAATCTGGCTCTCCAGGCTTCATTAAGTATTCTAGTTCCTGTGCAGGAATGGGCAGAGGACAGTAAATCCACAGCCATGCTCTTCCCACCACTACTCATTTTGTGGATCATATTTGTGCATAGTCACCTCCTTTCTAGATTGATGCATCCTACTGTACTGAGTTCTTCTGCAACGGGATTCATTCCATATCTTTGATAAGTACTTTTGCTCCTTTTTACACCTTTTTCAGGATTCATAATTTTATTATCCTTTCAAATCCCTTGCTGCCTTCAGAGAAAGCTAAGCTACAGAAAGGGAAAAGTCCCCAGACAAGAGTCTTCCCATGTGTGCATAGGTTTGATTCATTTTTGTGGATGAAACAAAAAAGCACACAGGAAACTTTTTTTACAAGACGAGAAATTCAGCAATGGGGAGGAATACACTTCTTTGACTGAAACTGAACAATCTAAGTAATTTCAAAGGGGAAATGCCCGAGTGCCCTAAGTGAGCTAGCTTCAGAAATCTAAGAGAAAGCAGGCACATAACATCCTCAGCCTTATTTGGAAATCTGAGCCAAGCATCTTGCTGTTTATACAAAACCTGAAGGAAGCTGTCTCTGCATCCCCTTCCCATATGAAGCATTACATATTTAAAACCTGATTGGTGTATTCATGCTGTTCGGTGCTTTGAAAAACTGAAGTAACAAAAGGATATTTAAATTCTTGAAATAATGATTGTGAATCTAAAGCCATATTCTGCTAAAACAGATGGACCATTATTACAGGAAAATTTCTCACAAGCGTCACAAGAATTTAGTGTTGTTTATGTAACATATGCAATCATTATCAAGTAGGAGAAGCAAGAGCAAACTAAAAAACAAACAAACAAACAAACAAAACAAAACCAAAAAACCCCACCAAAAAACATTGCCTGAAAATGTCCTTAAGAACTGTGGCAGTATTCTACCCAGCTTCTTAATTCAAAACTGAAACAGAACACAGTGGCTAGGGAGGGAGGATGCTGAATTTCTTTACTCCTTTTCTTGTACTTGCAACCTGATCTGAGCAGTGAGATTGAGACGCTATGCTTGCAAACATAAATGCAGCACCTCAGCTTCTTCTTTCTTGCCACTTTGAAAAACATGTGGAAATGAGGTAGAAAAGATAAATTAAAAAAAATTCTGTTTCCAAACTTCTTGTGCTTTGGGTATAAAAGGCAAACATTTCCTGTCCTCTGTTTCCTATCACTCATATCTCCTCTAGAGAGCTAAATAAAATGGTGGAATCCTAATCCCTCTCTGGTTTCCTAGGTGAAACACAAAAAGCTAGCCATAATGTATTTGGTATACATAAGTTTTTCTTTATTCTTTTAAGTATGTATTGTTGTTCTCTGTCCTTAAGCTAAAGATTTGACTTGTAGCTGCTGTGGTTATGAGCAATCCCCATCACTAGAATGATGTCTCCACTTTCATCCGTTATATCGAACTCAAACCCCTCCCCATATGCAAAAGACGTAAAGCACTTTTAGCACTTGGAATGCAGCTCTCCCTGTAAGATGTTTAACAGGCTACTGGTTAAACTTGAAAAATGTTATTTACTTCAGAAATGTCTGGCATCAGTTATGCTTAATAAATTGGATACCTTGTTTTTGATGGGATAACATGTAGAGCTGTGTTTTGCTTAATCTTCTGACTTTGAGCCAAAGTCAGGGGGATCTGCCATCACAAACATAGATCATAAAACAGGAAATTGTCCAAGCAGCCAGGGATCAGGTTAGAAAACTAAAGCCCTGACAGAATTAAATCTGGCAAGGAACATCCAGGGCAATAAGAAAACCTTCTATGTGTACATCGATGAGCAAAGGAAGATAGGGAAAAATTTAAGCCCTCTTCAGAAAGAAATATGAGACCTGGTTACCCAGGATGGGGAGGAGGCTTAGGCGATCAATGCCTTTCAGTCCCAGTTTTCATCGGCAAGTGCTCCAGCCATGCTGCCCAAGTCACAGAAGGGAAAGGCAGGGACTGGGAGAATAAGAACTGCCTGCTGTAGGAGAAGGTCAGGTTCGAGAACATCTAAGAAGTCTGAAAGTGCAGAAGTCCATGAGACCTGATGAGACACATCCACAGATCCTGAGGGAATTGGTGAATTCATTAGCTAAGCGATTATACATATTTAAGAAGTTGTGGCAGTCTGGTGATGTTCTCACTGACTGGAAAAGGGGAAACATAACCCCCTTTTATAAAAAGGGAAAAAAGGAGACCAAACATATACCATACAACACAACTGTCACACTAGAAACATTATAGATTCATCTATATCTTGCTTCTTACCCAGGAAAATGATCTTAGGGTCTCTGTTAAAAATTCCCCAAAAGCTCCATCCCACCGTGAAGTGTAGGCAAAAAATAAAAAAAAATCAAGCATGTTACAGGCAGAGATAGAAATGAAATACTTACCTTTATTTGCATTGTATTAATGGGAGAGCTTGTTTGACAGTGCAATGGTCCATGTGTCTGAACGTGAAGAATATAAAGAAGAAATTCTTCTTGACTGGACACAGGCCAACCGACATGGAGAACTGTATTGTTGATGGTACTTGGTCCTATATTGTGCAGCTATCAAAGAAATATCATCAGCACATTCCAAGGCAGTAAATAAAACAACAATCACAGCAAAAACCACTTAGGTATTTTCAAATTCTTAGTGTCCACAGCCATGGAATATTCTGGAAAGAATGTATAGATTATTAACATCGCTTTATTGATGGAGAATCTCTGGCAGGTAGGGGATGAGGACCTCTGCACATTAGTCATAAAGCCAGTGGCAAATCTGGGAGAACAGCATTTTCTGTCAGTCTGTATTCAAGAAATCCAAACCTTTTCTCATTTTATCCTACATATGAAGAGTTGAAATTACCTAAAAAAAAAAACCCAACACAAAACACACTAGCAAAAAACCACTAAAGAACTATGAACAATTAACCATAACAGATCATACTTGAAAATAGTAGCCAAAACTTCAGAATACAAAAGAATCATGTTTCAGGGCACAGGAATAGAAGGTACAGTAGAACTTCCACTTCTCTGGTTAAGAACTCCATTTTCAATACTTGTCAATTCAAATTTCCTCAAAAGAAGAAAAGGAACAAGTTTTCCTAAGGTGACATGCCAGGACACTATTTTTTCTTGGAAAAAGAGCAAAGTTAGAAATAATAAAATTTTAAAAATCTGGGCTATTAAAATAGTTTCCTTATATCACTTTACAATTTGAAAATATCTGATGATCACAGAAAGTCTGGACATGTGTTATCACTGGGCACGAAAATCTAAAGAAGCTGAACACCATGGAGATTTATGCAAAGTTTCTAGAGATGTGATAACCTCCTTTTTTTAAATGTGTAGAATTTTTGTGACTGATGAACTTTATTTAGAACTAAATAAAACCCATTTTCAATCTTACATCTTCTAGGAGGGTGTTTGGCCTTTTTTATGCTTTGCTGATATAAACCATGAAAGTGGTTTCCTAAATAAGTGTAACTAATCACTGTAACTATTTTAATAAATTTGAAGCCACATATATAGTTTCATAAACAATCCAAATGCTTGAGACAGGAAGATTTGTTAGGGATTTCTCAGTTTAGAGAAATGTGTTAAGATGAGGAATTCACAAATGATAACTTGTATTTTACAGTCTGATTCATTACAGTTTAGTATGTCATGCAAATTGTAATCTTACATTGCTGATTAAGCTCAGTTGCTTATATTTTCTTGAGGGCTGGTTTGTGAATTATAACCACATGTGAAGCACTCTGTTTTACCCTCTCGAATAAAGGTCATTTATCAGATTCTAAGGATGGCCTGTATTCCATGTAGTTTACTCAATGCCCTTTTTCTATGCTGAACTCTTCTCTTTTAATTGACAAATCATCCAAAGGAAAAGATCAACAACAATAAAAGGTAGAAACATGTGTTCTTGAAATATTAAGGGTTATTTTCAACAGACCATTTTCTGAGCAATGAGGTAACAAGTTACATGTATGCCTACAATTTTTTCTCAGTTAGCTAAATGTCAAAGGAAAAATTTTTTCCTGTGCACAGCACTCACAGTTTCTAATGAGAAGGTATTTGACATCGATTAGAATGAACTTTTAAGCACTGTTTTTAATTCTTGTCAAACACCCAAAATGTTTATAAATCCCTTAAATATCAAAGACAGACTCCTAACATAAACCAACATCTGCTCCACTCACATGAACAGATAATGGGGTTGTGAATTCCCAGATTAAATTTAGGTCATGTGCTAAAGTCAGAATATTTACATTTGTGGCTTTATCTTGCTGTAGATAAAGAAATTAAACCAAATTCATTAGGATTTCAATGGGGGCAGTGATGTCCTGTGGCAACATATATAATTTTTACCTCATAAATGTGTTCTACTAAAGGACCAACTTCTTCTTCTTTTGTAGGTTCATCTTTGGGTTCCCAGTTGTGAAGTGGCAAAATAATTGTTGGGGGGTGAGACACTCTGTAATATACAAAACAGGTTAAAAGAGTAATTGTTACCAGTGACTGACTGTGTCACTTTTAGAAAAAAACTAAGACCAAAACTGAGCTCTCAAGGGCTTGTTATTTGGGCACATTAATTAGAGTTAGGTGAGGTGAACACTACATTGCTTTCATAGAGTACTATCCAGTCCTTACAGATGACTGGGGGTGTGCATTTATTTTCATACTTCCTCTGATGGATGGTCCTTTCCAGACAAGAGAGTAACTCTGTTGGGAGAGAGGACACCAGTCCCTTGGGTATTTACATCATTCTCACTGATATTCAGATATCTGAATACATTATCCAAAAAACTGGAGTAATGATGCATAAATAAATGTATTTTCTCATTCCCATTTAAAGCCTGTAGATGTTTAAAGCTATGCATCTTTCTTCCCTGCGTAACATTTTTAGGTATTTAACTTTTCTGATTATAAATTTCTATAACCTCTGTTCTTATTCCTTTAAAAAACCTTGTAAAGTAGTCTATCTCATTTTACAGGTGGGAAACTGAGATACTGTGACTTCCATGAAGTCATATTGGAAATTGGTGTATTGAGAAACTGAACTCAGAACTAGAGCCTGAAATAGTGCTCCAGGCTTTCCAACTGCTTTGCAAATGAAGCGACAGCTAAGGCATTCCCTGAAATCCTGTTGCAACTGGCAACATGTGAATAAAGCATAAATGAAGAAAACAGTGACTTAATATTTGATATCTTTCTTTCGGTCTGCTATTTTATCTTTCCTTCTCTATCCGATTGCAAGAAAGTAGTTATCTGTTAACATTTCTATTTGAATCACAAACATTTTACTTCCAATAAAAATTGGAAGTTCCTTGTACAGATCCCATTCAGATGCCAACTTAACCTCACTCAGGTGTTCAGAAGTTGCGGTATCAGAATCCAAGAATTTCTTTCAGCATGGTAGGTGAGTTCTGGCTCAGATATCTGTCATCTGCTAGTACTGCAAGTAGATCTTGGTGCTAAAATGGTATTACCCTTTCTTTGCAAGGGTGAACTCTCACTCAGTTTTGCTGGTTTACAGAGTCATAGAATAATAGAACCATAGAATCATAGAACCAGCAGGGTTAGAAAAGACCTCCAAGATCATCAAGTCCAGTCCTTGATCCACTACCACCACGGTTACTAGACCATGGCACTAAGTGCCACATCCAGTCTCATCTTAAAAACCTCCAGGGACGGAGAATCCACCACCTCCCTGGGCACCCCATTCCAATGCCTGATTACCCTCTCTGTAAAGAATTTCTTCCTAACTGCTAACCTAAACCTCCCCTGGCACAGTTTAAGACCATGCCCTCTTGTCTTACTGATAGTTGTCTGGGAAAAGAGACCAACTCCCACCTGGCTACAACCTCCTTTCAGGTAGTTGTAGAGAGTGATGAGATCTCCCCTGAGCCTCCTCTTCTCCAGGCTTTAGCTTAAAAGCCATACAATTTCAATGCTTGTTCTGCCCAAGCAGGAAGTTTGCTGACATAAGACTGTTAAAAAAAATCACTAAGGACTTTTTTTAGAATATAACATTTGAATAAAATGATGGACATCTAGGCACTGAAGTTAATCAAGGGGCACTGCTGCAGATTGCCCCTTGAAGAAGAGATTATTGGATGGTTCTGTTGCAAATGCTGACAAAATACTTTAGGAAGAAACAAACTGTTCTTGCTTACAGTTCTTACATCACATACAAAGAATGAAATGTCTGAAAGAAAGTTTCCTACAGCATACAGTTTCTCAAAGCAGCAAGGAAACCCAGAGAACAATTTAATATCATCCAGTTAAAGTACAACTCTTTGTGAAATTTAGGGTATCCTAAACAGTTCCTCAGACTTCAAAAGGCCAGCAGTTTGTACTAACAAGTATGCCAGAGGACAAATTCACAAGCTAACCCAAATAATAAAGGAAATCAAACATATTTATTAAAAAAGACACTTCAGAATAGGTACTGAGCCTAACTTGCTTTATTTCACAAATGGTCCTGTTTCCAATATGAATTTTAATTATTGATCGTTGTTGGAGAATAGGAACTTTCCTGTGTTGATACAACAGCCAAGACACATAGACCCCCAAGCTACAGCAAAAATTTGCAAATCAGAAACTGTACACAGACAAAAAGAAGCAGGCATGGTTTCAAAAACTACTGGTTTCTATTGCAGTCCCTGGGAAGTGTTTTTCTTATCCACAGAATTATTAAATTCAGAGTGTAAATGTAGACATTCAATTAAAATTGTTCTAAAATATAAAAGGACGTTTATTTTAGCAGATTTCAAAGTTATTTTGAGAACTTCTGCTATTGACATAAAAGTAGAAACACCAGGTCAAATGAAAAAGAAATCCTTTCTTTTGACTATTTTATTTTGCATTTAACTGAGAATATTTTTAACATTTGAATGATTTGTTAGGCAAGGATTTTTCCTAGACTTTTGTGTGACAATTATCAGTCAAACAAGAGCATTGAAAAATAAGATAAACAAAGTATGGTCTACAGAAAAGGCTTATGTGGGATATACAATAAGAATTCTGCCAGCTGCAAATCCTCCTAATCCAAATGACTTCCTTCCTGAATTCCTCATTCCTCTGGTGCTTTTTCAGCAGTGGGAGATAACAATTACAATACTAAAACTCTTACATTTTTATAGAAAAAAAAGATAAGCAAAATAATCAAATCTCAGTTATCAAAGCAACTGCTCATTGAACTATCTACGGAGTTATCTTAATTTTCTTTAGAAGAGGATATTGGAGAAGATTTCTTCCTTTTTCAGAGAGGAAGTATTTTCATGGTTCCACTGTACAGGTACACATGCATGTATGCATATTCAAAATTTCCTAACTCTTTACTTTTCCTCAGTAAAATGTACAACATATCCAGTTCCACTTCATGCAACTTTGTGCAGAGCAGTAGAGAAACCAATGCAAGATATTTTCCTGTCCAAAAGTGGACATAGTCTGTTTTATTTTTATCTAGGAAATAGTGAGCAATTCCCCTTGGAACTGCATGTTTTAGCATCTCTGAGTAATTAGCAAAATCTGTGAACAAAGCACTTTGTACATGCATGCTATAGCTAAGAAAATGAAAAGACTTAAGAGGAAAGAAACTGGAAGTCATTCAATTAAGTAATTCCTCTGTCTTTAATGACCTTTTTCTTAGCATTGCAGGCAGCAATTCAAGACTCTTTTTCTGCTTGTTGCCAAGCCCTTAAAAACCGAGGATGTTTTGGTCATTTTCGGTCTATTTACCTGTTACAGAACTTTTCATTAAAAGGAACACACTATGGTACAGAGAGAACATGTTGGAGGCAAAAAGTGTCCAGAAAGTTTGCGAAGAAAAAATGGTTTGAAAAATTTTTCTATGAAAGTGACAAGAAACCTCACTAAAAAAACAGAATCCACAGCACTGGAAGCAACCCTTACTGAGAAGTCCTGTGTGTGTAACCACAACTGTTCCGCTGATACACTGAGACTCCAGCCAGCCTGTAACCTGGGTGTTCACCCATGGCAACATCTGAGCTGCTGGCTCCCAACATTTTCTCACACATCTGTAGCCCATTAAATAACACCTTTGATTTTTATTTCCTCAGCCTCTACTTCTCTTTCTGTGTTCCCCTCATTTTGTATTTTTCACCTCTCTTCCTATCCAGCTCATTTCCTTAGGTCACCAGTAAATACAGAAAATGAAATAATATTCTCACTTCTGTTCTTATTAAACATGTTGTCTTTCAACTGCTCCTTTTCAAAGTTCAATCATTAACATATATCCACACAGTCTTTGAGTGCCAGTCCTTTTTTCCACCTAACTCTAGTTTTAGGATTAGTTTTCTTTACCTGGAATAAACTTACAAAACATGATGAAAAATACTTTTAAAATCTCACTGATTTAGCTTGAATATTAGAGCAGAAAACATGGTCTCTGTGATCTGCACAATTATTTGACTTATTGCTGGCACTACATAGTTATATTGTCTTAAAAGAGGTAACAATAAATAGTTTTTATAAATACATACATTTTTATTTGTTTGCACCTAAGGTAGCCCCTTGAGGTGCATTGTATAAGAGACATCTAGCCCTCTAGCATCAGCCAAGCCTCATGGCCTGACTATGGAAATGAAGCTGGGCCATGAAGTTCCTGTTTTCCCCTTGCAGAGCTGATAATGGTTAAGGTCTTGATCTGTACTTTGGAAGAGGAGATGTAGGAGATCTAATATCTCAGCCAAAAAAGCATTTGGGGCAATTATGTGCTTTAAAAGAGTATCCCGCCAAATTCCTCTGGGATACCAAGGATAGAAGTCTAGTTCCAAGATTTTACAGGGTAGTCTGATATTCTTATAGAATTATATAATTTTTTTAGGTTGAAAAAAAATCTTGAAGATCATCAGGTCCAACCATAAAATTAGTACTATCATGTCCACCACTAAATCAGGTCCCTCAGTGCAACATCTACACAGCTTTTTAACACCTCTAGGAACGATGATTGAACCACTTCCCTTGGCAGCCTCTTCCAATGCTTGACAATCCTTTCTGTGAACAAAATTTTCTTAATATCCAACCTAAACCTCCCCTGGTGCAACCTGAGGCTGTTTCATCTCATCTGATCTCTTGTTACTTGGGAGAGGAGACTGATCCCCACCTGGCCACAACCTCCTGTCAGATAGTTGTCTCCTGAGCCTCCTTTTCTGCAGACTAAACAACTTCAGCTCCCTCATCCACTCACAAGACTTGTGCTCCAGACCCTTCACATACTTTGCTGCCCTTCTCTGGACACGCCTCTGTATCTCAATGTCCTTCTGGTAGTGAGAGGCCCAAAAAATGATCCCAGTATTTGAGGTGTGGCCTGACCAGTGCCGAGTACAGGAGGAAAATTAATGCCCTAGTCTTGCTGGCCATGCTATGTCTGATACAGGCCAGGATGCCATTGACCTTCTTGGTCACCTGGGCACAGTGCTGGATCATGTTCAACTGGCAATTATCAACTAATTGCATTTTATAGTTTCCAAAACCAAGCTGTATCTGAAAATAGAGATAGAAATAATAATCTTTTTCATATCTTGTGCCTGTTTAGTTTTGGTATCCTTTGTGTCAGTGGATACGCACTTGCTTCGGGCAGAAATGAAAGAATCCTACAGTAGTAGCTGGTTGACTTGTTGTCATAACTCATTCCTTACTCATCCTTTCTCCAAAGGTCTCACTCTGATCCCTATTGGTATATGCCTTGCCATAATGTGTTTCACATTTCCAGTCCCAAAAACAGTAGATTCTGCTTTAGTATTCAGCATTAAATGTCCAAGTGGTTGCACAAGCAGAACTAAACATATGAAGAGGCATTTTGTACTAGTAACATCCATACACAATTTGAATGCCCATTTAAAATGTTGGCTCTGAGTAGTGTTACTACAATGTGAGATTGTACAGGTTGCTGTATTTGCACAGAAACTACGGAAGTCCTTAGTAGCTCCATCCTGCAAGGCTTGCAGGGGTGAGACTCAGGTGTACGAGGTGGATAAGGTATTTGCAATTATAACATGGCAAATGATTCACCACATGGGATTATGCAGAAAGATTCAATAAGAAAGTAGTTATCATAATGAGTTGAAATAGTTGAATACTTACCCTCTGATCTGTACTTGAGCCACAGCACTGACATTGATATGGAGGTTAACTAAATTGCTGGTAGGATTTATCTTGTTAGAGCTGGAAAAGATATGTACAAGTGTTAACAAAGGTTATTTATCAGAAGTCTAGATTGTTACAGATACAGCACTGAATATCACAAGGTCCCAATTAGGATGCAATGCCATTGGACATGTTACAGCATGGGCTTCCCATTGCCACTCTTTAGTCTCGCAGGACACTGGTATTTAAGTTTGATATTACTTGAGCTCATCACATGCTTAATAATATAATCAACTCAAGCTTCCTTTACAGAATCCTATGATGAATATGATGATACAAACTTATGCAGCTCAGAATATCATGTAAATTCCCTTGTTCAAGTTGGCTATCTGTCTGGATAGAAGTATCTTAATAAAATCCAAGTTTGTTTCATGCACTGGAAAAAGACAGTGTTAACAAACAAGACAGGCTTTTAATAAAAAAAATTGGTTTTATGGCTCTCCAAACTTGTGACTTCTGCATGACAGAGTCTTTGAGGAAAAAGAACACAGATTGACTGTTTCTTTACTTTTCTTATTTTCTTCCCTCCCCTCCCCTATTCAGAGAGTGTTTACACTCTTAATCCCACTAACCAGTGAAAACAGATCCCTATGTTTAAAGTCTAGTGCTCTCACTCACTTTATTGTCTGTCCTTATTGCAAATCCTTAGTAATAAAGGTAGTTACTCTTACTTCAAAAGACCATTCCTATGACTATAGCGCACTTACGTAAAGGATGGTTTTCAGGTTCAAATCCATAAAGACAGAGAAAATAAGTAGACAGAATTTATTTAATACTAAGTTTGGATGGTTTTTTTCAAGCAAGTGTGTACTTCCTTGCTTCATGAAGACTAATTTTCTACTGCTGTCACAATTTGCTGTTATCACATCTGGGTAGCATCAGTCAAATGGAAACATTCAGAGGAGGCCAGCATTCCCAGTGACTGACTCTTGAGAATTAAAGTGCAATACTGCTTTGATCCAGGCTTTCTGCTTACAGATTTCTAAAATTAAGAGCAGCTCTAATTTGTTTGTAAACTAATGCAGATTCACCTCAAACATTATTTGAACTTTTATTGTGATCCTCTATAGCCATTGTTTCAAGTACAAAAGTAAAGAAATTGCTAAAGGTATAAAAATTACTAAACCACTACTTTGTTAGAATAAGCTGGTCTCTGATTTGTATAATGGCCTCACTTTCCATGGAGCTAAAATACAAATTTTGAGCATATATATATATATATATATATATGGTATTTAAATCTTGGTCATGATTTATGGTATTTTTTTAGAGAAGAAAATAGTTTAAATAAAAGTGCCAGGACATATCCCTTTCTAAGGAGTATATAATTGTCTAGTAAAGTCCACATCAGAAAAGGAATCAGATTTCAAGACACTACTCAGACTCTTGCTTGTTTACTATAAGTAATGAACTTCAGTCTTGCAAACCAAAATATTTATTTTCCACTTGATGTTTTGAAGTAAAGGAGAGGTCTCTCTTTTGAATAAATTAGACTAGGACACAAATTCAAATGTGTTCTTCCTTTTCCTTCCCTTTAGATAATTTCCTCTTTCTGCCTCACGAATTTCTGTTCTCTTCTCCTTTCAGGATTCTTTTACCTGTTCACTAAGGACACAGAAATGCTCAAACTGTAGTGCTGCTTGAGAAAGAATGTACCAAGCAGTGAGTTTTAAGTGTAGGGTACAATCCCCATGCAAGATGTTTTACTCTTTCTTTTGGTTTTAAAGTAGCTGGGTGCTCTTCAGCACTATCATACCAGTTTCTGAAAATCTTTGATTTTGGTAGCCCAACAGATTTCCTCCCTTTTCATTTTAGTGACCCACGCTCATGGAAGAAGCATGAGATCCTGTTTTCTCCTGAAGTTCAGACTTATTCCTCAGTAAATTCATGTCACTTTTTCTATAACAGTGACTTACCCTCAACTCTTATCACCTAGACAGATTTAGCTATCCAAAAAGCTCTGAGCCTCCCCAATTTCGTAGCATGAAAAAGGTTTAGAGGCATGAGCCATACCCATCTAAAACTGTATTGCTTGCACTAAGAAGTGACCAGTGACACAGACAGGGGTCCTACAAGTTATTTGCTGTATCTCTCTCTGGAGTAGCCCATGTCCAGGTTTGCATGATTTCCAGCTCACCAGCTAGATCTCTGGGAGAGGTCTGAGGCCTGACTGAGCACCTCATTGACTTCTGTGGCATTGCTGTGCCCTTCCAAATTTCTGCATGCCCTTTCCTTCAAGGGTTACATTAGGGAAACATGACTTAAATATTTTAAATGTCTCAGTTATTTACCATAATGAACATGATCAAGGCCCTCATTAAAGGCCAGACATTAGCATTTAAGTCTGTGTGTGTGGGGCAGAGAGGGTAGGAACTCCAGCATGTATTTGATGAGAACAGATGAAGCAGAAGCCCTGCCACCTACAGAAAAAGTCCCAGGTTTGTTCTTGCTTTTATCCTAACCCAGCATGCCCTGTGCTTTTTTGTCCCTGTGGAAGAAGTACTGGTCAGCATAAAACAGAAGATTCTCCAGCAGTATGTGAGGCCCACAAGGGAGCTGAGGGAGGAAAGTAATGGAAAAATGACAGAGGTTCATCAAACTGAAGCAGTTCTTTCTCTTCATGCCTGCAAATCCGTTGAGCAGATTTTAACTGCTCTCCTTTTATTTTCTAAATTGCTGTGAAGAAGAGGCATGTCTTTTTTCTAAATTTCATAGCTGATATGTTTGTACATATACAACTTTGTTACAAAGTTATCACCGTTCATTAATTTGGAAGTGGAAAACAAGGTAAAATTTTGGCAAAACTGCAGAAGATCCTTGGATTACTGACCAAAGTCAATTAATCTGAATTTTAAAGAAATGATTTGGCTAAAAGCTAGCAAGGTTCCAACTTCACAAATCCTCCTGAAGTAAGCTACCACAGGAAAGCCCATGAAATTTTTACTGACACTCAAGAGTTAGAGTGACCTTCTTATATATTAATGTTTATGTATCAACAGAAATTAATAATTTAAATAACCATGTTCTTGATAAAATATCTAACCTTTTTATTTGCAGCTCAAAACTGATGCTGGACTCTGCATTTTCAAAATGCTGAACAGAAAATCGAATGCCTGTGGAGAACTGAGGAAGAAACAAAACAGCAGGTTATTAAAAATGGTTGATCTCCCAGATCAATAAAGCAGTACTGTTCAACATTGCATTTCACAGACATACTGGATACCATCCTGTATATGTGTATGTGACCAGATGGAAAACTTGGCTGGACAGAGGAAAGATCAGAGGAACAGAGATGCATACTCCCAAGAAAACAGTGGTGGGTCCTTCGTCATCCAGACAGTCTTCGCTTTACTTTGCTGAGCCAAAAGAAAATAATGGCTGTCTGGCACCTCTCATCCCTGCCTCCATCCATGCACGCCTTTGTCCAAGTCTCCAGGGCTTCCTGCTCCCCACCTTGTCTCTGCAACTGTGACCTATGAGATGCATGCTTTAGGTGTTGTGGGGCTGACTGATCACCTAAGGCTAAATTAGCAGCAGTTTTAATTTAATTTGATTTGGTTTTATTGCAGTTCTGTTAAGAGGAATACAGATTCAAAGTTACACTTGCAATTTAGTTTGCCACAACTTGCAGTGTGTGAGCAGAGGAGATAGAGGGTAAAACACACAGCTCCCAAAACTGAAGGAGATAAGCGCTTCCACTGGTGCTCCCCTGTGTTTCTGCAGACGTGGCTTCCTCCCTTTGACAATTTCCATTTGCTTCTCACTCCCCGTCTACCTCTCCTATGGCTAATGGTAGAATTTTGTGTCAGATAACATGCATATTGTGCTTTAATTTTTTTAAAAAGGATGGTTACATATAGACATATCCTCCATGTGGAGAAACAATCTCCCTGAGAAATTCATCAAAAGGCATTAGGAAATGAGGACATCATTCTCTCATTTCTGCCGATATCTGACTAGATTATGGGGGGGGGCAAAAGAAAAGGAAAAAAAAGTTGTCTGCTTGGCATAATTTCCTTAAAATACTTGAGGGAACCTTGTCAGCAACAGGACAGGACACAACAATGTAGGATTTTGTGTTTGGGACTTACATTCAACATCACTGAAAAGGAGGAATTTTCCTCTGTGGATGTCATTTCATATGTTTCAGTGATTCTTCTTCTTTCTTCATTTGCAGGGGTGCAACACTGAATCTTAATCCATCTCCAGAACAAGACTTAACCTAACATGTTTCAACTACTACTTTCAGCTGGCCTATGCTGAAAGCAATATTGTCATCATAAAGGAAATGGCAAGTTCAAATCTTTGAATTCTGATTATTTTAATGTCACAGTTATAGTTGATCTCTCTCTTTGGAAGCAGAATCTTTCAGATGAAAAGACAGTGCTCATTAAATTACTCAGAAGTTGAAAACTGACTTGGAATAGAGGTGTAAGCTCTTTATAAGGTCTCTTTTTGGAGATGATGTTAACAACTGTATTGAAATTCCATTCACCTTTAAAATATAATGACTTTCTTTAGTCTTTTAGACAAAAATATCCAAATATTCAATTCACCATTTCTCTTACTGTTTTTACTAACCAGTCTAAATAAATTTATTTCCACTTACAGAAGAAAAAAGATATGATGAACCAAAGATAAAATTTTCATCAGACAGAGCAGACATGAACTGTAGTTTTGATGATCTATTACTCCCCTGAGGCTTAATCCCCTATTTAATGGTGAAACACACTCCTACTGTACAACTCTAATAAGCTGCAGATGTTGCCTTTGTATTGTTGTATGACTTTGTTAATGTCAAGTAACCCTTGACACTGCTACTAATAATGGGGCAATGCCCTTGCTGAAAACCCACTGAGGCTAAAGCAGTTTAATTTGCTTGAACTTGTAGCTTAGCAATCACTCAACCTCCTTATTTTACTAGGACATAAATTTTATCAGAATAGTTTAATTTTATTTAAAATTTTCCAAGTGAAGTTAGTTTCATTAAAATTGCAATTTTTCCATGTTTGTAACATCATGTATCTTTGAAATACATGACATTCCTGCTATTAGTGATCAGCCTTAATCTGTTACCATGTTTGACAGGATTTAGAAGTATGCTGGGAGACAGAGGGAAATCTTTTTTTAAAGTGTCTTACAGTGCATAAGAAAGATAAAACCTCTGTGCTCTTGAAGAATTAGTTTGATACATATCAAGAAACAGGCAAGATCTTCCAAGCCTCCAGTCTTCTAATCTTATTACTATTAATTTCTGTTAACTTCCTGATTTTTCTACCAGAATTTTTAATAAAACCTATATTTCACTTGCTAACACCACTGAACAGGCATTAGGAAGCTTGCTGGTCTGATCCATTTAAGAGTCATAAATAAGTACATTGAGCACTCTTTGCCAGTGAGATGGTATCAGCCATTTAATTTGCATTCTGGGTCATGTGGTATTCTGATTTTCCTTACCTTTTTATATTCTTTTTTACTTTTTCTTCTTTTTTTAACCTCAATGATATTACTGAAAAGGTTGAGTATTTTTTTGTGGTCAGTAAACAGTTTTAAGGACACAGATGACAATAATGCATCTTGAAGATGCAAAATGTCAGTCAACCCTGTAGTCCACTATAGTAATATCCCATGGGTTACATCACAAAATCCCAACATAACCCTCATACCCAAAAGTTGATCTTAAAGAGTTCAAGAATTCTAGGATTTCAGGGTGCCGAAAAGCCATGACAGTGACTCAATAGTTAAGAACTTTAGGAATGTTCGATTTTGACCTTACCCTTCCTTTCCACTCACAACTTTCACAAAGAGTCCCTTTCTGACTGAGTATTTTGAGAATAACTGATCTCCTGCCAGAGCAGAATTGTTTTGCAAAATTGGAAATAGATCAGAGTAACCTTTTGTGATTTATGCAATTTGTAAAAAGGGCTGGTATTTTGCTTTTGGAAGTACATTTGCCATCATAAATATGTTTGGACTGAAAAAGCAAAAGTCCTTTCACCTTTCCTGAGTGTCCAGGAGAGCTGGTTTCAAAGACAAAATTCGGATTAAAGATTTCACTCACTATAATCAAACAATTTACCCATCTGTCTTTGTAATGCTCTATCTTCGCATGCCTCAATTTTAAAGGGTTGGATTACTTTGTTATAAACCATAACATCCTTAAATATATTATAAGCTCTGTTGTTTTATTCTGCTACTTCTAAGTCACTCTTTACAAAGTATTTTGCTTAACAATATTTGGTAACAGCAAATCATAAATGGCAACCCTAGAATTGATTCTGAAGAAGAGAAGGATCAGTTACATTGTGAAAATTCATAAGGACACAGGTGAGAGTAGTACTGCTTTAATAGCCACCAAAGGGCATTCCTGAAGTCTTCACACTGCTAGCATTTTGAGTCAAGGATGATGTGGAAACATGGCTTTGCATTCAAAGGGAGGAGTGTGAGGGTCTGCAGTCTAACATGTGAGAGTCTCTTGTGTTTAGTCTTCCTTTTCTCTTCCAAACCCAAGGGGTTTTATGCTCTCCTGCCTTTCTTCACTGCATCCTGATCATCCACAAGATTCTTGTCTACTTCCATCTGTATCTTGAGAATTTGCTTCTGCCTTGAGACTAACTGGGAAACCACTAAGCAGGTAACTAAAATTGCTGGTTTCTCGATACAAGAGACTACAGAATCAGAATTACAGAATATGCTGAGTTGGAAGGGACCCACAAGGATCATCGAATCCAACTCCTGCACAGGAGTCACATCCAAGAGTCACACCATGTGCCTGAAAGTATTGTCCAAACTCTTCTTCAACTCTCTCAGGCTTGGTGCTGTGAACCACTTTCCTGGGGAGCCTGTTCCCTGTTTGGGAATCCTTGGATTCCCAAAAATCCTCTAGGTGAAGAACCTCTTTCTAATATCCAACCTAAACCTCCCCTAACACAACTTCAGGCCATTCCCTTAGGTCCTGTCACTGGTCACCACAGAGGAGAGATCAGTGCCTGTCCCTTCTCTTCCCCTCATGAGGAAGCTATAACTGCAATGAAGTCTCCCCTCAGTCTCCTCTTCTCCAGGCTGAACAGACCAAGTGACCTCAGCTGCTCCTCATATAGTTTCCCCTCCAGACCTTTCACCATCTTCATCCAAAGGCCCTCCTTTGGACACTCTAACAGCTTAATGTCTTTTTTATATTGCAGAGACTAAAACCGCACACAATATTTGAGGTGAGGCCACCACAGTGCAGAGCAGAGCAGGACAATCCCCTCCCTCGCCCGGCTGGCGACGCTTTGCCTGATGCCCCCAGGACATGGTTGGCCCTCCTGGCTGCCAGGGCACTGCTGACTCGTATCCAGCTTGTCATCAACCAGGATCCCCAGATCCCTTTCTGTAGCACTGCCTTCTAGCATCTCATTCCCCAGTCTGTACGTACACCTGGGGTTGTCCCATTCCACATGCAGAATCTGGCACCTTCCCTTGTTGAACTTCCTATGGTTGGTGATTGCCCAGTCCTCTAATTTGTTGAGGTCTCTCTGCAGGGCCTTCCTGCCTCTGAGGGAGTCAACAGCTCCTCCCAGTTTTGTGTCATCTACACACTTGCTTAGTATCCCTTTCAGTCCTGCATCCAAGTAATTTATGAAGATGTTGAAGAGCACAGTGACCAAGATGGAGCCTTGCAGAACTCCACTAGTGCCAGGTCAGCAGTCTGATATTACTCCATTCACTATTACCCCCTGTGCTCAATCTGTGAGCCAATTGCTCACCCATCACAAGATGTGTTTATCCAGCTGTGTGCTGGACATTTTGTCCAGAAGGATCCTGTGAGAGACAATATCGAAAGCTTTACTGAAATCCAAAAATGTTACATTAACTGTCTTCCCTTGGTCAACTGGGTGGGTTACCTTGTCTTGGAAGGAAATCAGGTTAGACTAGTAGGACTTTTCTCTCATGAAGCCGTGCTGGCTGTGACCAGTGGCTGCGCTGTCTTTCATACTTCCCAAAATAATCTTCTCCATAACTTTACCAGGTGCTGAAGGGAAACTGACAGGCCTGTAGTTACTGGGGTTCTCCTTCTTCCCCTTCTTGGAAATCAAGACAACATTCTCCACCTTCCAGTCAGCTGGGACCTCTCCAGCTTCCAAAGACTGCTCAAAAATCCTTGAGAGCGGTTTGCGATGACATCAGCAGCTCTTTGAGGATTCTTGGATGAATTCCCATTTTCATTTGACTTGACTTGGAATTTATCCAGTGCTTTGGCCCATCATTGCCTCCCATAATCCCATTATAAAAATTCCATTCCTCAGAAATGTTTTCAATTATTCTTACCCTTAAGGAGTTTCATTCAGTAGAATAAAACAAAACCTTCAAAATCTTTTATCCCTCTTGTCTATGTCCTTCCCAGAAAATGTTTGCAGTATTCTCTTCAGACTTCTAGTTCACAGTGGTTCTATGGAGAAAGAAACTCACCAGGAAGATTCCTCTTCCCAGGAGGTCCATTACCAAGAGTCCAATTTTCAGTGATTTCCAGCTCCTTGTAATCCCAAAGAGTCCCTGGGACTGTTTGTTACCATGCAAGCAGATGACTGTATGAAACACCTGTTTGCATTCACTTTCAGTTCTGTGGCTGATCTGAGGCTATCCCTAGGATCCAAACAAACTTATTCTAGTCCCAGTCTCCCATGGGGAGTATGACTCTTTTGGTTCTTTTATCGAGGGTCAGACATGAACTGCTTCAAGATCATAAGAGACCAGGAAAGATCTCCTCTGTAGAGAGTCTGAAGAGTGAAATACTGATCTTCTGCAGGACAAACCTTAACTTTGTAGGAATTTTGAAAATACTTAGGAAATTTGCTTTGGTTTCTTTTGCAAAGCCACAGGCCCAATATGAAATTCAAGCAGTGGTAGTTTTCAGTCAAAAACTGTTGTTTATTCCTGATATATGTTCATGTTGCTGACCACTTCATTTTTATTAGGACAGTTTTTTATCTAGATATAAATGTTTGGATTATTTGCTTTGAGTTAAATATTCGTAACATCTACAAATTTATAAGAAACACTAAATTCCTCTGCAAGAGCATCCATGGCTGAACATTCCTGAGTTTAACACTTCTGGGATTTCACAGACTGTTTTGTCATGAAATAGGGACAAAGGATGAAAATTGTGGAAAGGGTAGTTCTTTTTTATCTCCAAACCTATTTTTAATTCTTACCTACTGTCCATCATTAGTCATTATTCAGTTCCACTTTTGCCTAAAAACAAGGCTACCAACATTCCATGTTATGTGTAGTCTGATTAATGAAAGGCTGTCTTAGGAAAATCTTTAGATTTACAATAATAACTTGAAGTCAAACTTTATTCCAACCCCATTTTCCTGGATATAAATTGTGATATAAACAGATAAGACAATCCTTATGCACTGAAGATAAGAATCAGGCTAAAGAAGTTGTCATTTACTATACATATCTTAAGTAAAGGGAATACTAAAAAAGAAAAATAAACAGATCACATTACAGATTGGGATTCTCTTCTCATTATACTAGTGTAACTTCTGTGACTTAAACTGAGTCACTCATTTTCTTTACAATAAATGAAACAAAACACAGGTTCTAGCATAATTAATCTTTTAGAAAAACAAATTATTAGTTCTTCAGAAGCACAGTTCTGCCTCTTATTACACCAACAATTTCCTGTCCAACTAAATAATTTGGTTTACGTGCTGCTTATTGGGACTCCTTCTGCCAATTGAATAGATTTCCATTTGTTCCCCTTTAAAATTCAATTAGATAAAAATCAGTAAATGCATCTGGTTTTCCCTTACATTTGCGCCAGCCACCATGGGGTTCCCAAGATCACAAACCACCATTCTAGTTTCATTTTCCATCTTGTAATCACAGCTCAATACACGCAGTGCCTGCAACAAAAGGACACCAATATGGAGGTCAGAGATCACAGTGAAATGTATCCAGTTGGGAAAGTGATGCCTTTTTGACTGTGACATTTCTTTTGATTTCGGACACCTGCTCAGTGCACTATCAAAACATTTACTTGCTTATTGTCAGAAAACAGGGGAAAACTGATGCCAGGGAAAACCGAACAGGATAGTTTCCCAGAACCTTAAGAATCAGGATGAGATCACTCTATGTCTAGTTTTAACATACTGGTCTGTTTTTGTGAATCATTCCTATAGCCATAATGACTCAACAGAGAAAAATGAGCAGCAAACCTAGGTGAGGAAAAAGGTCTCATGCTAATTGAAACAGTTGTGTTATCCATCACCAGAAGTCTCTATAGTGAATTTCTGGCATTGGCAGAACTTTATAATGGATCAAGTCTAGACCCTTATTTTCCAATCTATGTTAAAATACTTAGAACATTAAATATTGTTGTAAAAACATAAGCTGTTATCTGTGTTTATAAATTGGCAACAAAGGAGATAGGTTTTCACATTATCAGATATTAAGGTTTTTGTTCTTTATAGCAATCTTTATCACTAGTAGTGTCATCTGTAAACAAAACAGACTCTATAAAAGGAGGAACAGCTATAGAATAGTGCAAATTAGGAGATACAGAATAAGACAAAGCAACAAAATGTGGGTGGTTTTTTTTCTGTTTTCCTCTTTGACATATTCAATAAAAGAAGGTATTTCCATAAAAGTGTAGAAATAAACAAGCTTTGTAAAAGCAGGATCCAGCAAGTTACACTACATTTCCTCTCATCTGTGATTTTCATGGATGAAGCAGTATGTGTAAGTTATATAAAAAGACCTGGGAAATCTCCAGACTACTGACTACCAATTTGTCTTATCTGTAAAAGCCAGCATGGACACGCTGTCCTCATCATTTCCTGAATTTAAAAGAAAAGATAGGGCATGTCCTAAACAGAGCCCATATGAAGCATGCCCTCAACACACACCTCATTGTACACTGACACTTTTACAGTTTGCTAGGAGGAAACAAATTTGGTTACACAGCATGTCCAGTTCACTAATAGCCTTCCCAAGCCTCTCTAGGGTTGGGAGGGAAGGATTTTTACACTCTTTCCAGCTGGTTAATTAGAGGTGGGAAGCAACACGTGGGGGAAGAGAGGGTGTTAACACAGTTGAAATCAAACTTGTCTGGAAAACTATTCATTTTAGCTTGATGTGTGGGTTTATAGTTTTGCTTTTGCTGGGCAAGAAGAGTTGAAATTGAGGTCTAAATGTTATAAAATAAATATTCATCGATATAAGACATTTGGCAGTTTCTTTAAAAATGCTGTATCATAGACCTGCACAGAGTAAATTAGCCCTTATCACACATTTTTTTTGTCCCTCTAAGGCTGAGAAAATAGGGGAGTTTTGTGAGTAGGTTTTCTGCAGTTTGCATGGTATGCTCTTAAGACAGAAAATGATTAATGGTACAGAATTTATATGACCAGCACCACAAAAGCTAATTTGTGCAGCATAAAGATGTGACAAAGGGTCAAGTCTGGTAGAATTCCTTCAATAATGAGATTTACTGCCTTCATTTTTGCACTGATCACCTTTTTGAGGTGGCTAAATACAAAACAGGAAAATTAAAACCAGGCAGGAAGCAAGTAAGCTCAGAGACTTGTACACCTACTATTGTCAGTATCAGTGGGTTCATATGTAACTCAGCCAGATGGAAGTGTTTGCCACAAAACCCTTCTACCTGCCAGTGGTAGCAATTTATATTTTTATAGCAACACATGGTTTTTTTGGCAGTCTTGAGCAGAAATAAAACCCCAACAATTAACACGTGTGCTCCCAGGGTGCTTTTTAACTAGAAAATGATTGGATGCTTTAAGTAATCCAGGCAGTCTACAAACTTGAAACTTTTTGGTGGTCATAGTGATGAGTTACTAATTGATGCCAGAATAGTTAAGCACAACAGGCTGAAGAGTAAAACACCTCCTCTCCTTCCTTGATCATCACATTCCAATTTTATTTTCTGAAGAGAAGTGGATGGATTAGGTACCAGGTGCTGGAATTTAGCTTCTCTTCTAGTCAATGTATAAAGAAGTAGTGTTTGTCCTCATAAGGCTCAAATCACATCTCATCTAGCCAGCCATTATGTACTTATTCTAAGAATTTTCAGGTAATATAAGAAGGTTTCAGGTATTTTTTTTTTATTTTATGAGTGTCATGCTTTAGTTCAGAAAGAAAGTGGCTCAGACCTTATCCATTGCAATATGTATCTGATGTGAACCCACCATTCCGCAGTTTCCAGCCTGAGCAGAGACAGTTCTGCCAAAATACATAATGTTTTTTGGTGTGGAACAAATATCTATTAGGGCTTTGCATTTGCCTAATTTACTTCTAGTTGCATGAGGTAATATAATGTAGTTATACGTTTTTCATTGCAGCTAATTCTAGTAACTCCACACCTTATCCATATGAACAGTTATTACAAGCCAATTGGTTTCCAGTAACTACTAAAGCTGTAGTAATTTATTCATTTACCTCTGGACCTTCTAAGTGTTTCCACAATACAACTAACAAACAACACATTTGATTTCATTGTAAGTCATTCTACTTCAATAATCAGCTTCTGCCTGAAGGAAGTGTCAGCATCTTCAGGAAACAATGAAGCTCCAAAATCACATCCTTGACCTCAAACTTTAAGATTATGTACATTCACTTGCCACTCCACTTTCATATGATCACATATATCCCTGCAAAATGTTACTCATTTTGGTACAGTTGCACAGTCCGTGTACAATATTCTACAGAATCAGTCCTGAGATAACAAGGTAATGACAATTAGCTTGTTACAGGTCAAACACTGTATCGCATAAAGCTGAACACAGGAGGTAGAAGGCAAGTGAATTTTCAGTTGTTGTTGACTTCAACAGCTTCTGAGCGTAATTCAAATGATATAGAATAGCCCAAAAAGTAGTTGAAATAAAAAAAAAAAAAGCAGGTTGGACAGGAAACACTTAAGGGATAAATGTGTTTCTCTATTAGGTAGACTAAATCCAGAGTAGCCCCACAATTAAGTGGACAAATATCCTCTATGAGTATCATAGAGGAAATTATTTGATTCTAAAGATTTTTCAGTTCATCAGAAATGTATCAAGTGATTTATTCAGCTGATTACATTTCATATATTCTGGTCTCAACTATCTGTTTTGCTGGCTGAGGTGAATATTATCTCTGCCTTAACACCAGGAATCTGCAGTTCGGAGAAAAACAGCTACACAGATGACTGTAAACACAGTAGAACCAAAAGTCAATGAAATGTTAGAGGTAGAGCTTTAAGAGCATGATTGCAACAGGCTCTACCACAAATCCACCTGTCTGCTGAAATTACTCTGTATTAAATTAAGTGCAAAGCAGAGAGGAACAATCACTTCCCTGACTGGCTGGCGAAGCTTTGCCTAATGCCTGGGCTTTTATAATTTTCTATTCGAAAGAAAAAGAATGTTAGCACTCTTTCCTAACCCATTCTAGCTTCTCTTTATTCTTCCAAAGTGCCAGAATATTTCATGCCTTTTTTCCTTCCTTTCTCCATAAGTCTATCCTGCTGACGCTATAAAATTCAAATTTTCCTAAAATAATATAAAGCCCTTAATGATCTCTCTCCAGTCCAAATCATAGAATGGTTTCATTTGGAAGGGGCCTTAAAGATCACCTAGTTTCAACTACTCTGCCGTAGACAGGGACACCTTCCACTAGACCAGGTTGCTCCATCCAACCTGAGCTTAAACACTTCTAGGGATGGGTCATCCACAGCTTCTCCAGGCAACCTGTTCCAGTGTCTCACCACCCTCACAGTAAAGAATTTTTCCCAATATCTAATCTAAACCTACTCTCAGTTTAAAATAATTCACCCTTGTCCTGTCACTACGTGCTCTTGTAAAAACTCTCTATCTTTCTAGTAGACTCCCTCTTGGTACTGGAAAGCTACAATTAGGTCATCCTTCTCTTTTCCAGAAGTCTGTACAAACCCAGTTCTCTCAGCCTTTCCTCACAGGAGAGGTGCTCCATCCCTCTAATCAGACGGTGGCTTTCTCTGGACTTGCTCCAACAGGTCAATGTCCTTCCAGTGCTGAGGACCTCAGAACTGGATGCAGTGCTCCAGGTGGGATCTCACCAGAGCAGAGTAGAGGGGCTGAGTCACCTCCCTCGATCAGCCGCCCACACTGCTTTTGATGTAGCCCAGGACACGGTTGGCTCTGGCTGCAAGTGTGTGTTGCCGGCTCATGTCCAGCCTCTCGTCCACCACCACCCCCAAGTCCCTCAAATGATAGACATGTGCCAATATGTGCTGTGAGTTTTGGATTAAGTGCCTCCCCTGACATCCTTTGTGATGTCCAAAAGAGCAGCTGAATATTCCTAAAGAGCAACAAATGAAAAATGTAACCATGTGTAGTATATCAAAGAGAACTTTTGTTTTGTAAATCACAGTCAAAAGAATCAGACGCTTTGCTAAGAGAACAAAAGAATAGGCAATAGAAAAAGGCTGGTTTCTTTAACATATGCTTCTGAGATGTGAAGTTGCAGAGAATTTCCATATTGTCATCTTCAATGACATCATTACCTCTTGTAATTTTTTTTCAAATTAGATTAAAAGCCCATTAATAAAGTCACTGACAGAAGGAGAATAAGGAAATACCTTGTAAGTTACTTTCAGCTTCCTTAAAAACATTTACCTTTAGAAAGGAAATTAACTTGCTTTCTCCCACTCTCACCCTTGAGGCCCTTCTGAACATTCCAGGCACTAACAGAAAAAAGCAGGCTCATGTTGCAACAGCTTGGGAGATTTATGTGCAGATGAGGTGATTCAGACTTGCTGTCCAACAGAGAATACATGAACACTCTGCTTGTTTGCAGGATAGTGTTTCATCTTTGCTCTTAAAAAACAAACAGACCCCAAAAGGAAACACTGCATGTTCAGTACAGCTCAGCAGGACTTCAGTCAACATTAGTCCTTCTGTGAACACTGGCACATTTTGCATTATGACTGCGTTTTTGGCCCATCCATAACATAAAATAATTGGTGACAAAGGAAAACAACTTTGTCAAGTTTATACTGCAGTTAATGTTCAACTATTGAGGATAGCAGACTGAGGATAGCACCCCTAATAATGGTAAAACACTGCTGTGCTGGGAGCATGAGACAGTAGTGTCCAAGTTTCTGCTTTATTATTGCTAATATTTTGATTTTCATTTACCTTATTGTTGCGTTCAACGCCAGTGTAATCTGCTTCAGGCGGAATCTTTATATGTAACTCAGCTTCATAGGCTCCTTCCCCATCATTCCTTGGATTTATTATGAGCATGACACAGTTTTCTTCTCCAATTATTAGCTGATCTGTATCTCTGTATAGAAAATACTACTTGTCAGGAGTTAGAACACGCACAATTTTTATTTACATATGAATAAGGCAGAAGGACATTTTGCTCTCCTAACATCTGTTCTGGAAAATATTCTGTGAAACATAATAAAACATTTTCCATAAGAAATGACCCCATGGAAAAGTATGCCAGCACCTGTGTAGAAAAGAGGTAAAGAGAAAACACTACCGTGGACAAACAAAGCAGACTACCACAGAACTTCTCAGTTACTGGTATAAAATTTCAGAGTCTGACTAGTTTCTAACCAGTAAGAAGTATCTAGTGGAGTAATTACTTGCCACAAGGGTGCCATAAGCATTGTTTCAGCAGGGTATAAAGGTGGTAGTTTTTCTGTCATGTCCATTGTAAAATGAACAATGACAAAAATTCTTCTGAGATCTGCAACAGTGCTGTGCCCTTTCCTTTTACAGGAATGATGGACTGATTTTGATGGCACAGAGTCAGATAACTGTCAGAGGTTCCCATTTTTCCTGCTTAGCCTACTTCTCCCCCCACACGAGAAATTGTTGCCAAGTTTTGAAATCTTTTTAGTCTGAAATTCATTTACTTTACTTTATACTCTCACTGTATACTGAGTTCAGGAGGATTGTGCCCCAAGTTCAAAGTCACTGGCACACTGAAATAAAAAAATTTGAAACCTCCTATGAACAACAATTTGCATTATCTCTTGGCATTCAGAGAACTAGAACCACCTCTAATGAACACCTGCAAAGTCTGTTTTCTGGGACAACCATTAAACACCATAAATGTGATTTGTAAGTGTATATTTCTCCATTTCTTGGTTTTCTAGATGAACTGGATGCACAAATTAAAATCTGGAAAATTATTAGCTCTAGCAAACAACAGAACCGTGTTCTGCATACTTCATTCTGTTACAGCAGTTAGCAGTGTTTGGACTTCCTTATTCACAGCATCATTTATTTTATTTAACTTACGGCATAGCAGAAAGTTGCAAGTCAGGAATGCACAAGTTGTCCTCTCCACAGTCAACTAGAATGTAAGCCTGTATTATTGCAAAATAAAAAAATGGTAATACAGTTTGTACATGCCTCAAAGTCCAAATCACTTCCTTAAAAATCACTAATCTAAGTGTCTAAAATATCCCTAGCGCTGACTTCATGAGTTAATTCTCTGTCTCCTTTCTGTAAGTTCCTTTCCACATGGTAGTTGGAGACTAGACTGTCAACTACATCCTTAGCAGAACAGTATCATCTTTCAGGCCTTTTCCCACACTAACTTGGCTTACGTATTCTAGAAGGCAATCATAACTACGAGCACAACAAAGTTTTGGAAATACTTTAAAAGCCTGTCGGTTCTATATTTATATTCAATTTACGTTTTGAATTAATTAAATCCTTGCTGTGTAATTTCTGGCCATAATTCTCTGTTTTAAGGAAAATGACACACAGCATTTGTAAATGCTTTCACGTTTATATACAGAAAATGTGGCATGCAAAATTCGTACCTGCTCTGTTAATGAGCTTTTCTGGTAATAGTTCAGTATTGGCTTCACAGTCAAACTATCTTCAAAACTGGATTCATCCAAACTATAATTGAAGTTTATATTAATGGGAGATAATTTATCTCTAAATTCTGTTTCATCCTGTGAGTGACATAATAAAAAACAATGGTTTAATACAATTATTTCAGATTAGTATGGCATGTCAACAGTTTCAGACTTCAGTCTTTACTGAATGTAAAGACATGGTTCTTTGAGAGCTGCTGGCCAAATTCTGGCTGCATGAAGTGTTATTAGGAAAGTAAAGTGACTCAGCAGTGACTGGAATGCCCAGAACACATTGCCTCCACAGCCCCTTCTGGAAGAAGCTGGCTTAGCTTAGTAGACTCAGAAATTTTTCAAAGCCATTAGCCTAAAATGAAGCTGTTTAAAAGAGACACACAGAACCAACTCCTATCAGCTGCTGCCCACCTTCCTTCTGAAATGGAGGTAGGACGTGTGGATTTGTGGAGGTAATACTGGTGGTTTGTACCATAACCAAGAATTTATGTGAGTTAGCAATGGTAAAACTCAAAAACTTAATTGCCTAGGTACTTCCTTACATAGTGCTTGAAACTTCTCCACCTCAACTCCCACTGCATTTTTTGGACCAGACTTGGAATCTACTTCAATTGCATGAGGTAATTCCAGCTGCAACTGAGTAACCATTGACCCTTTCTTCTTTACAACTTCAGATCCATGGTTTTATTTTTTCTAAAAGCATTTTTAAATACCTTCAAAATATTTTTTAAAATATATGAATTTTAGGCCAATATTTCTAGTGAGGCTCCTTTGAAATATCTGTTGCAACTGAATTGGCATGACATCTAACATGACTAGCTGACTATCCCACTGTGAGTACTAAAAAATAAAGGGATACTGAAAATGGACAGTAATCTTGCATTTTTGTATCAGGAGATGCAGTATTTGATCAAAATTTCCAGAAGACCATGAAATTAATGTATTTTTACAAAGAAAAACTGTACAGTCTTCAAAAGAAGTCTTTATTTTATACTTATATTGAAAAAAGATCAGCCAAAGATTTATATAGGGAATTTTTTTCAAGGTAGCAGTATGTTCTGGACATTCTGGACATACAAATAAGGCCTATCTTATCTCACATTTCTGTAATTTCGGAAATTGTTCTTCCTTTTCTAGTGGCTACTTTTTTTACTAGTATCTTTAGATCCCTCGTATTACTCAAAAGATGATGACAGTCCAAAATATTTTAAACTACTTACTCTGAGATAAACAAGGAAGTCCTGGCAATGGAGCTGTTTCTGTCTTTCTATCACAATGGAGAAGTAATGATGTGACTGATGGTAGTCAAAGAAAAGGGTCCTCTTAACAGCTCCTTTCTGTTTCAATGAATCTAATTGCAATTCACCTTTCAGCACTAAAGGATACAAACAAATCAAACATTTATTGATTTAATATAGAAACAGAAAGTACTAGTCAATTAGTTATTATTGTATTATAATATTATAGTATTATAACATAGTATTACAATTGATTAATCTAACAAAGTCTTCCAAGGAAAACCAATACATGCTTTAAGTGCCTGTCTCTTTAGCAGCCAACTAGTTTTTGATGCAAAGTATGGAAGATGTGTAATTTAAGCTTTCTGATTACACTGACAGGTCATACGTGTACAGGACTTCTATTGCTTTAAAGTAGTTTTTTTTCAAAACAGAACATTCTCCAACAAGGTACATTCTTGGTTTTATTTGGAAAATGGCTTAATCTGAATCAAAAATCCTTTAACTCAGTAATAGAAGCTTTGTGTCATATATATACATATACATTTTTTTTAAGTGCATTTTCTTGCCTTGGGAGGATCTCATTCCTATCATCCTTCAAAGTGTAAGAAAAAACTACACCTGAAATGGAGCAGGATACAGTAAATTATATGAATAGAAAACATTTCTTACCTATCTTATGTGAAATACTTTGACCTTCAAAATCTGCGCAGAGTCTTACAGTAAAGCTACATATAAAAGAGTAGAAGTAATTATTAGGAGAAAGAAAACTCCCCTAGGAATCAGCAGTTCCCAAGTCATATCTTTAAGTTGTATTTTAGTTTTCTTAAAAAGATGTTATTGAGATCTGTATTTAGCTACCTATTATATTAATTAAGTTAGCAAGTCTCCTAGGCTTCGGTAACCACAGAAGAGCCTCTGAGTATCTTCCTGGCAAAAGTATGGAGAAGAGCCTCTGTTACCAGTATTTCTTGAGACATCCTACAGAGATTACCCTTCTAATATTATTGCAAAAGTTGGGTTCTTTATGCTGACTTTCAGCAAACCACCTTTGTAAGATGCTGTCTGCAGAAGTCCTTCTGGTTCATCACGGTCAAATCAGAAAAATCTTTGAGCATGTAGTCAATACTCAAGCTGTTTTCTAGCAAATCAAAAAATACACAGGATAACAATGTGTTTCACTGGCATTATTATAATATTGTTGCTATTTCAAGAGGTTAAATAAAAAAAATTTGCATTAGCCATTGCTCTTCATCTCCTCACTATTGTTATGCTATATACTAATGTCCCCATGCAGTGGATGCAAAACCAGTAACATAACCTTTAAAATAACCTGTAATCACATTCTAATTGCATGTTTGCTTCCTCTGACAAACGTAATGGAACTGTGCCACATCTGGGATACATGTCACTCTCATGAGCTTAATAAACACTTTTTTATCATGGGGTTAAAAAAAGGCATTTATTCTTGAGGAAACAACGTCGACATGCCACTAAACTACTAAACTGTAGCTTTCAAATGACAATCCAGTCCATGCAGAAATTGCAAATTCAGTCATATTCCTACTTCTTTACAGAAGGATGAGTTAACACATGAAGAACCAATTATTTCCTAATACATAAGGACAAAATAACAACATTGAGGAAAGCTTGTGCAATTGCACAAATAAAATTTGGAAATCAGGTTTCACAGGCCAGTCTTGTATGTCAGAGCATAAGTGTATTTTCTCAAATGCAGACTCAAGAAAAATATACTCAGTGATCTTGATTTGGAGAAGGTAAATAATTTTTGCACTACCATGTCTGAAAAAAGGTTGGGTTAAAACATCCAGGTTGGAATGCTTTACTTGTTCAACAGAACAATTTCAGTGTACATTTTATTTACTACAATGAACAGAATAGTTCATCATACATATTTGAAAACTGAAGTCATATTCTTAAGTGTTATTGAAAGAGTCAAGATTTACTCCTTTGGCTCCAGGCAGAGCATGTCAAAAAGGGAATGGCAGTGCAAAAGAGCAAATACGTGAAGTGAATAATCTCCCAGATTCTGGCCACACAAGAGGCAATGCTATGGCTTTAGCAGAATTCTGCCACACATTTGTGATTTTATTATTTAGTTCAGAAACTGTTCTAAAGACATCAAAGATTTCAATCACAAACCCAGATGAATTTAGACATCCTCATCACTTCGACAGGAAGATGCTGTGGAGAGGCTGAGGGATGCTTCAGCTTCAAGAAAAAGAAAAGCAGGGGCAAAGACCACAAAAGAGGACAGCAGTCTAAAGGATTTATGGAGATTCAAGATCTGAGTCCTAGACACAGTAAGAAATAAAATAGCTGAGCTTTTGTGCTTTCTCATAGGAACAATCAACCAAACAATGCAATTAACAATCAAAGGAAGAAAATTTCAGCGGATAAGAAACAGCTGGGAAATAGTCCATCATCCTAAGGCATATGAATTTTTTATGTGCTATCAATCTTGTCTCTCCAAACAGATCCCCACATCACATTTATTCTGTGCTGAGTCTATCATCACTATAAGCTCACGGTTTGAATATTATTTGACTGTAGTTACAAAAGCAAGGAATTACGAGATCATTTGTCATTGTCGAAAATTTCTTTAGCACACAGGTTTGCAGATGGAGAGAAAGAATGGATAATGCTTTATCAGAAAGGCCATTTAAACTTTAATGCTAGGGACTTCCATTCTGTTTGAGGATGATACCCATCCTGCAAGGTCACAAACCTCTACAGAAGAAGGCAGAGACTGTTATTGTCTACTGATAAATGACCTTTAAACAAACTGTTTCCTCTTTGAGGTATAATATGTAAAAGCAAGTCAATATATTTTTATTATGATGTTCTAATACTTGCCCTGCTTTTAGATTTTGCTATGCCAAAGTCTAAAACAGTGACCAACATAGAGCTTTAATGCCGAAGGTATCCCATGGCTAAGCTACACCATGTGGGCAGGCCATGGTAACACTAGGGCTGCTGGATAGCTCAAAAGACTGCCTTTTGGATGTCTCCAGGGCTACTGAAACTAATACCTGGCTCAGAGATCTCCCACACAGCAATGCAGCTGTGTTGGTAGCAACTGTCACTACCTGCCTCTTTCCTTCTGAGAGCTGACTCTCCATCTTCTGACTCTGGGCCACATGCCTTTGCTTTCTGACCCATGGAGTCGGGACGGCCAACAGTCTATGGAAAATCTCACACAAATCCATCTCAACAATGGTCCTTAGGTCCATATCCATGGGGTACCAATCACATCCTGTTTCAAATTAGGTCAATGGGAAAAGAAAATACTAGCAACAGAAAGGAGCCAAATTAGAAAAATAGTCTGATCTATGCAGTTAGGATAGGCTGAAATATTATTATATTTGGATTTTACATTTTCCATAGGCATTTTGTATTCAGGTTTTTTTTAAGTGTATGTAGAAATGTCTCATTTACTGAATCTAGCTGACCCAAGATTATAAATGTTTTATTACTACTCTAATAGTAGTACATTTGGAGATTAAAAAATGACAATTTTTTCAGAGTATTTTTAATAGTAGGAACTTGAAGATCAGAAATTTTAAACAGCCTACCTCTGGTTTAATGGGTTTGGAGAAAATGGATAGCTGGGTTGCCTAAAGAAGCCTACAAAGAGCATCTCAAATCAGACATCCAAACCCAAAAAGTGCTTACAAATAAAAAATATATTCTACAACTTGACTATTTATAATGATTGGACACTTCTGTGCTACTTTTGGTAAGTCAGGTAACTTCTCCAACCTCTTGCTCCTCTAGGAATTGGACATAACAATATTTACCTTAAATTAGTGCAAAGTGAGTAAATAACAGTTTCAGGTACAATTTAAGCACAAAGTAGCAATAAGGTAGCCAGGGGATTATTGGACCTCAAATAGTAATAAAAATACCAATGCATGGGTAAACTAGACATCTCAATAGCTAGAACCCAGTCTTGGACATAATAAATCACATGATGCGGAAACAGCGTTTGAAAACTTAAAATGTTTGGTTTATTTACCCCTTTTTACAGATATTAACTTGCATCTCTCACATTTTGGAAAAAAAAAAGGTCTTTTTCCCATATTCTTTAATAACTTCAAAGTTGCAGAATTTGTTCCAGATTTGCTAGTTTTGGGAACATAGAAACAGTGCCACTTTACACACAGCAAAGAATGAATTATATGCTTCTACAAGTTCAGGACAAGTCCCTTAGGGCTGTGTATAAAAATGACTTTTTGTGCATGTTTCCTCTGTGCTTCAGCTTTTCAATCATGGCAAAAATAATATTTTCCTAATACTTGGAAATGTACAATAATCCACATTATTCACACACACACTTCCTGGAACTTTTCTGGTAGGAGGTTTCCTTTCATTTTAACTTTGCAGTGTCAGTCAGTAGACTTTTTATACAAGTTGCGCAGCTGACTAAGAGATACACAAATTCATCCCATGGGACTGAGGAATTCTTTGCTTATTGGAGTTTCCCTACTAATTGTTTTAATATGTACAATACAAGCTTATATCAACTAAGGAGAAAAATTACAGCTTGGAAAATAGCAGCTGCTCTTCAGTCATTTTGTAATACAAACTAAATCTTTAGGGAACAGTATTTTAGAATTAAGCAGACAGAAATTAAATTATGCTCCTATTAAAGCTCTTGTAGATATGAACCAAACATCTTCTGGCTTACTGTAGCAGAGAAATTAAAAGTAATGAAAAAAATATGCTACAGGAGTATTCGTTTTTTACTCCCTTTTTTAAAAAATACCTCACAGCAGGAGTATTTTTTTTAAAGAGATATTTTTATCTATTCCTCTTGTGCAAAAAATCACCCTTTTTCTTTCAATACTCTCTTGGTAAATGTTATGGTTCCAAAATCTTTCTCAGTATGACATTAAGCATTTTTTAAAAGTCTTAAAACCTGAAGTTGTGAAAAAAACATAATTTCGATCAATGAACATGCTTCAGCCAAGTGTTGATATTTTAAATTCCTTATTACATTAACTATTAACACAAAAGGTACTTAAAAAATTAGGGTGGATCTTGATCTCTCCTATTCCATGTCTTGTCCTTAATCTTGATCCTATTCCATAAAGGCCAAAGCTTTGCGAAGTTCTGGGACTGTGTAGTTCTACCAAGTGCCTTCTACATTGCTCTGTAGATGGGCAATTTTCTACACTGGGTGTAGAAATGAAGAACATTATGACAAATACGAGAAGTCCTATAAAGTGTAAAAGAAAAGTGCAAGAGTGAAAATCTCTTGACAGCCCCATCCCAGACACATTGAAAGCCCACATATATAGGGGTTTAAGTGTACCAGAGTTTAGTTTCTTTATGGCTTTTAAATGAACTGCTTCTGGTCATGATTATTTTTTATGGTTCATATTTATCAATGTATTCTAAAGACTCTTTTGCTGACTTTTACATTTGAGATGATTTTCGGAACTCATCTCCTATAAAGAACATCTCCAGTGTGAGGAATCCCTCTGACCATCTCTGGTTTAAAAGCAGTGAAAAAATCTGCAGTCATGTATTTTCTGGAGTCCTCCTTTACACTTTAATATTGTTTTCATCCAGCCCACGTCCTGGCAGACTTTCTGTTTCTAATGTTTCTATGTCTGAGAAATCTGTTCCTCAGAGTCTCTTTGGCAAGATGTACTACTATTTTATATTCAACATGCACATGTTTATGCTCTGTTTTGATTTTAGCTTCCTCATTTGTTATCGTTTCCACTTTTAAACAGTATCTTTTTTTTGTATTTGTATTTGTAATAGCCTCTTTTATCAACTGTTCTGAGGTCCTTTCTAAGCGACCTTTTTCTAGTGCAGTAAACGTGCCTTTATGTGGTATTATGTGCTATTAGATAGCCTTCAACTGTCCTGCAAGCATTTTATATTTGTAACTGATCTTAAATTGTTTTAATTAGCTTCAAGTTTCTTAATGTTCTTTTTCTTTTTAAAGTTAAATGCTACTGTGGTGAAAGGTTTCTCTTTTAAAGATAGATGAAACATTGTCCTGCGTGGTGCACTAAAAAAAAGCTTTCCTCTGACCAAAACCAACCAGAAAGAACATCCTGTGAACTTCTCTCAGAATTGTCAGCCAGATATATTCTCTCTTCCACAAAGGACCAAGATCTGTCTTTCTCCATCAGAAAATGGTGAGCCCACAAGGCCTGCATCATTTTTACTGTTACATTTTCTCAACAAAGGTATGTTTTTTCACACATCAGTGCTTATGTGTTTCATCCATTTTAGCTGTTTTATCTTGCATATAATTTTGCAGCTTGACCATAGGAGAAGCTAAGCAGAAGGAGACTCAGTATATCAAAGGACTTAACTTTTAGCTATGACACAGTTTGACAATCTGTGAAGTATTGGAAGATATAAAAAAGAACTCTACATAGGAGGTTTTTTGTCGTGCTCAGAGCATGTTTGAACATTTTGAACTTTGAACATGTTCAAAAAAAGCTGCAATAAAAGTTATTAATAAGAAGTTATTTGAGAAAGGGGATAAGGATGGTTTCTGAGTAATCATGAACTTACCAGGCCACTAAAAGCTGAGAGTCAGGGAGCTGACAAGTTTTGTTGTCTGGATTCACAATCATAGGGTTCAGAATAAGATAAGCATTCACTGTAACAACAGGTCTGGCTCTGGGGGACAGAAATAAGGTTCACTGCACACAGAAAGAGCACATAAGTACCTAAGTTGAAGCAGAGAAAACACTTAATTGAGGTGGCCACAAAGAAGCCAGAAATGCAGGGTTACTTGGGAGAATGCATTATTTCAATGCTTCTCCTACCCAAAAGAATTTTTTTTTTTTTTTGGTTCAGAAGCTGTGATACGTCCTACTGAGATTTTGACAGTTCCTCATGAAAAAAATCACAGGTAACACATCACTGAAACAGTATCCTATAGTTAACCAATAGATGTGTCCCAGGACTAAAGTACATCAGATGCATTTCATCACATTGGGTTTTCACAAAGGGACAGAGCCTGCCTTTTTGGGATTTACAGCAGTCCTTTGGACATTTGTTTTGTACTCTCTCCACTAACAGTGACATATTCAGACTTGCTAGCTCTGTTTAAGATTCTTAAAAAAAAATAAAAATAATTTGGTTAAAGTAGAAGTTGATGTAGGATATCCTGAGTAAACAATGAAGTAAACTCTGTCTGATATTTCTTGAGAAAATTGGCTTTGTAAATCAGGAATAATCATCAGTAAATTCTGCTGAGTACATGGATATATAGTTGTGGTAATGGGAACCACCCCTCTGAAACTGTTATGAAGTAATGAGATAATCTATAAGCACAAGTAATTTAGAAGAGAAATGAAAACAAGTAAGGGTCCAGATTCTGTTTTTTTTAAGGCAGAAGTACTATTTTACAGTAACTTACATAATTCTGGCTAACTCAGCTTATTACAAAATTACTTTCTTCATATTTTAATACACATTTGAGCTTTTATGATTACTTATCTATATTACTTCAGCAAGACACTGAAAAATAAAATTACTCTCTTCATTTTTGTGCAACATGGAAAACCTTTTTTTCTAGCAAATTTTGGTTAACAATATTCTATTTCACCAAAATGACAGATTGCATATTTGCTACGCTCTGGCCAGGAAATGGCCACCTGCTATTCACTGTCTTAAACTAAATAGAACAGATTTTATTGTTATTGAAAATACACAGTGGATCTAATTCTCCAATGTTTCACACCCTGTGCAGTCATTCATGGCACGGCAAAGTGATGCACTGCAAAGTATTTGCATGATTCTTTAACAGGGAGGTAGGAAAATCAGGTCTATTCACTGCATTCTACAGTGTTAGTTGAAATGAGCTAACATTCCTGTTTTACAAAATTCTTATGCTTTCACAAGCATTCAGTTGAGAAGTAGAACATGCCTTCTCTCCAACAGAGAGAACACAGACAACATGAAGACAGGAATCAAGAAACATGACTACTTGGTTGTAGCAATGGATGGTGAATATTTAAATGTGAACAATAAGCCTGGCTGGACAAAGAGAGCAGTAACAGATTTTTGTTTATGTACTTGGTTTAGTTTTAAATTATAACTCTAATTAAAAAGTGCATTTAGTGGAATTCCATAGTCAGTAAGAAGTTTTTGTTTTGTAAAATGGAATCTTGTGCAATTTTTTTAAACTGAGGCTAAAAGGAGCAGTCTTTATTTTCAATAAATAGTTCATCTCAACATATATGACCACTGAAGAATCAGAGTCACTTTGAAATTTCTTACTAGCATCATTACCTCTAAAAAGAAATTAATTTTCAATTCTATGCCTTTTAATTTTTTTATTTAAAATTAACTGAGGAGTCAAACATTCCAGAAGCTTCTTAAGCTACGACTAAGTATGGAAATTTTCCACTGAAAATTACAAGTTCTGAGCATGAGAAAAAGCATTTGTTTCTCACAAGATGTTTAATTTATCATCTCTAATGATCTGCTTTTACGTATTGCAACAGGGAAACACAGGAATCTGAAATTTGTTTATTTGCAAATCTCTCACCAAAGCTGTAAAATATAAAATCCATTGTATTTACCACATACCTGTAAACAACGGCTTTCCCAGCTCCAAATGCACCCACAATTAAATCTGGAAAAAACAATGGCTTCAGAAGAGATATATAGATGTCTCTCACACATTTTTTCCTGCCTAAATTAGATTATTTACATTAAAAATGCAGTAACATAAAACAAGTACAATATTCCTTTCCATGCAATTTTTTTCAGAAGTGTACCTGAAAGAAAGCATTTCACATTGTCAGAGATCGCCTCAGAAATGTCTCGGTTGTACCCAGTAAGTGCCAATCTATTTAATCCAAGGTCACCCAATCCACAATCTCGCTTCTCTCCAACTTGTATCTCAAAGAGATGCAAACCAATTTCTTCTCACTTTCATACAAGTCATGTTGAAAATTTATGATGTTCCTTCCTCATAATCCTTCCCATCCTGCTTTGTGTTTTAAGTAATTTGTTCATTAATTTAAGCATTACATCTCTGTGCACATAAAGACAATTCAAGGTCAGAGGATGGTTATTTTCAGAGTTTCTAATATTTCCAGTATTGCAGCAGCGTGTACTAAGGCTTACAACAGTTACCCATCTAAAGCCGTCTTTTTCCCCAACAGTCACCACTCCAAACAGATGAAGTCAACAACCCAAATGCTATACTGGGACTTGGGCACTTCTTTGTTAGTGGTCATTGGCTTGGGTTTGGGAATCTACAGTGTGAGAAATAAAGAATCGGTTTTATTACAAGCAAATGAATTTAGCAAATCACTAACATAAGAGTTTTTCTTTACTAACCTATAGGGCCTATCGCGGAGCTGTAAGACGCCGGATTCAGCCTGGAACCGGTGTCAGGGAAACATGCGAACGGGAATAGGGAACTGTAAATGAATATTGGTAAGGAAACCCCTTATACCACATGGCTGGTCCTGGAAGCTGCCATGCTGCTGGACACTCCACCTCCCAGCACGACACAGCCAACCAGAAAGAGGGGAACGCCTCTTCTATGACGTAAACGGGGTTGAACCTTAAGAATGTTTAAAAAGCGGGACTTTTGAATTGAAGGGGGTGTTCCTGGGAATCCTGCGTGCCTAGGACACCCAACACGTGTTGTAATTTTTCCTTTTCGTTTTATTCCTTTTGTTTTGCAAACTTTTGCCGTCTTTCTAAATTCAATAAATGAGATTTTTCTCACATACAGGACCAAATATTTCCTCTTTTTGCCTCGAGCCCTCACACAGGGTTCCCCAGAAAGATGCAGACTGGTTTGCTGGATCCATTCAGGCCTGCTGGAGAAAAACTGGAGCCAAGCAGTGACTTAAAAAGATCAACTTTCCTGCTGCCTCTGACTTTGTAAAGAGCTTTGTTTGATTTTCAAAGCCCCCAGATGTCCATCTGGGCACTCTTTTCACTCCACTGTTGTTACTATTCGATTTAATTGACACGTGTCCAATTCTGTACACTGAGTTTTACAACAGACCTTGCAGTGGTACAGACTGGAAACCTAAATGGATTTAAATAAGTTAATTAAACCAGTACTCAGGGTTGTAAACAAACCCTTATTTGCTGCTTTTATAGTTTTAGCACTGGTTTGCTTAAGAAGCCCAGGAGTAATCGAGCATGATGCAAATACAAAGCTTTGATGTTAATTAGCTGGATGGGTTTGATCCAGGGCTGGCAGCATGTTTTCTAGTGCTCCTTTGTCTTTCAGATGGCCAGGATTTCACAAGTTTAAACAAGTACTTCACATGGGCATCAGCTGGTCCTACACTGAATTCCACTGAATAATGTACTAATAGGAGAAGGCATGGACAGTTTACGGGTCTGATCCTCTTTTTGTACAACATTTACATTTTTCTAGTTTCATTGGCCTTAGAGAAATATGCTTCAGGGTCAGGAACACTTTAAATAGCAGAAGAAAATGAGTGTTGTTTTTAACTCCTTTTTGGGACATTTATGTGTTCTTTTAATTAGTAGCTTTTTTAGACAACTTGCACACAGTACCAAAATCTAAAGATGTTTAAATAAACAACTATTTGAGACAAAGCCATTGTCATAAAGGCTAGAGTTCACAGAGCTTAATCCTGAAACAAGTGTCTTTGGCATGTATTTAACTGATGTCAAAGGGCACAAAGCTAAGCAATCCTAATGCTTACTTCAAATTTTACTTTGCTCTGAAGAGAAGGGTTCCAAGATGCCCTCTGGTGAATCCATTTTCTGAGATAAAATTATCATAAAAAGTTAAGGAGATGGCACTGAAAGGCACACTGGAATTTGTAAGCTGGTCTATTTACCTGCACCTTCTGCCATGTGGCTTTTCCAGACCTGAAACACCATGTGATAAAGAGCAGAAACTTGCCATGATGCTCCCTAGATCTTCAACCAAATGAAGTAGGAAGATCAACAAGGTCTTACTTCCAGTCTCAATTAATATATTCATTTATTAACTTGAGAAAATTCTTTGATACCCTGTTATTTTTAAAGGACATCTCCATTACCTGTGAGAGACACAGGCTCAGGAAGGAACATGCATCGTGCTCAGCACCCTAGATTTGGTTTGAGTTTGTCCAGCAACCCTAAGAGAAATTGCCAAGGCATGGTATCTCATCTTGCTTCATGGGGGACAGTGACCAAGGAAAACTGCCATGAAACTGGCACTCACCTCACTTCTGAGAAACATAAAAATGAAACGACAGCTGGGTCACCTCACTAATGCAACTCTATCAGGATAGACAGGAAAACATTACTTTGGGGAATCAGAATGATTTGCCGACAGCTTTAGATATAACTTTGTGTAGTCTGTCAGTTTAACTGGACAGTATAAAAAGGGACCGGAAAATAATTAGTATTATACTCTATCTGAGTACGGGTGCTAATAGAAATTTCATAAGAGTGAGAAAACTGCCTAGCTGCAAACCCTGTTAAAAAATCTTTGTGAGCCTTTTTGCTTTTTATTTTCCTCAGCAGATCAGCTGCCAAAAAGGCCAATGATCATGTTTCTATTTGTTTTCTAGGATTTCAGCGTCCATTATGACCCCAAATCTCAGTAGGAAAGGTCCAGAATAAAATTTCCTTTAAATGGCCATCACTTCAGACTTGACCATAGTAAAAAACACAGGACCGTCCAGTTTAGCCAGCTTTACTCAAGAATTTCAGGTAAATACTACAAACAGCCAGCAAACAAAACAGAGTCACTTTCTTCCAATCCTACCATTCTCAACTGCCTTGATCCTACTCTGTTTTTCAGTCATTCTGGTAGCAGGTCTGTAAGTATACCACCTAAGGCTAATTCATATCAACACTTCTCCCTTTTGTCTGAATGAGTCTCTTTTATAATACAACTATATTAATTATTATATTACAAATAAATCCCAAACAGAGCAGTTAGTGTACCATCACCTCAGTAAAACACTCTTTATTGGGATCAATGGCTTTACTCTTATATTATAGTGGGCCCAGTACGGTGATTTCTTTAAGTATCTCGAAGAATTTTAGAAAAGCACACCTATAAATTACACGGATATTAATTTGCCATAAAATGAACAAATTTATAGGAAAATCTTAGGTTCTCTCTACAGTTTTGATTGATTACTCATGTGAAAACATAATTAACTGGTAGAAGCAGTTCAGCTTTTCTGCATTTGCTGGCAAAACCCAAGCCGTTGTTCTGGCTCCCACACACAGCAGTCTGCTCTTGGCAGAGCAGACGCAGCTTCTCATTGATTTAATTTGTTTGTCTTCCACAAAGCTCCTGGACCAACTTCATAATTTAATCATGACTAGATTCCGATTTGTGATATTTTTGGCACAATGCCTATTGTTCACAAAAAAATTTATGAATCTGAAGAACCCTTGCCTCTAAGAAAGAAACTTGAGGATTTTCTTCCTGCTGTTTGAGTTAATGTACTCAGCAGATGGAGCTGTTAAATACTCCTATTTTAATAAGATTAAACTGGATTACTGAAGCTCTGAGGAAATTTTGTCTGATTATCACACTTCTTTCCTTCTCAAAATGTTTCTAGAGTAATCTGTTTACATTAACTACATGATATTCTTAAGCTAATAACGGATTCCAAAATAAAAAGGCATGAAGATGCCCTACCCATTTCCCTTTGCTGACAAAGGCTTGACTAAAAAGAGCAACCAAAAGAACAGGCCAACAACTGTGTTTGAACTAAAGCAGAACACCTTGAAGATGAAGCTTCAGTGGCACTGACTCCAGAATGACTCTCTAAATTACTAAGGAAAAGTTACACAAACATCTAAACAGCTAGGGAGCAGAAACAATAGTGCATAATTTATTTGAGCAATTAACTAATTAACTAATCAACAGCCTTTGAACAATGATTTCATCCAGAGCATTGTTCTGAATCCACCCACACGGTTAAAAGAAACTGGATAAATCATCCTGGTTCACAAACACATTTGAAGAAACCACAGTCTGCGGGAGGATAGGCCACAAGAAGAAAGTAAGTTTAATGAGTAAGTTTTTCATTATAAACTATTTGCTCAGCTATAATCAGCCATCAAGTGACTGAACATATGCTGAAATGTGAGGGTGGAAACCTTACAGCCTCCAAATGCCTGAACTGTGCACAGATAGATGAACCAGCTGGAAGTGCGGCACCATCACCTAGATAATCACAGGCTCCAAGCACTCAGTGGGGACTAGCTTTGAACGGATGCCCAGAAGCCAAAAGAAACAAATTTCTTTCCCATTAAAGAGATTTATGGATTTCTTTGGTTTCTATGAAAATTGAACTATGCTAATAGAAAAAGACAAAATTATAAATAAAATAAACTATAATGCAAAATGCATGCCTTTGCTTCATTCCCTGCTCCAGGCCTTGATGACACACATAAAACTCAGGATGGAGCAAAGGGGCCCTAAAAGTCCCAGAATTACAGGAGAGTGGAAGCTGTCTTGGAAAATTACCATCATGGGGTTCAGATGTCCCAGAGGAGAAGGGAGCCAGGAAGATTGTGCTGAGGCAGGAATTTCATAATACCTTTATGCAAACCTTGAAGAGCTCTGTCACAGAGAATCCCATGGTTATATAAAGTGTGTTACGGGCCTCGCCAGTA